GCGTTCCTACAAAATGTGAACCCCAAAGGAGGCAAACGTAGTAACCGAACACGTAGCTCATTTTTAACTTTTCCTATGTGCTTTAAGTAAAATTCGCCGATGTCTTAATTGAGGTCAAACGCAAAGCACTGATGAGGTTCCATTTAATTGAGAAGGACATAAAATAGTTACAGAAAATTCTTTTGAGGTTTCATTTGTTATTTTGGTGCAATGCTGAAGATAATTAATAAATTAAGTAAAAAAAATCTCATCAACTAAATTTAATTTAAAAGAAAAAACTTTAAAGAAACTGCCATAGAAATTCTTTGATGTCTCTCTTTAACGGACTTATTGTTTTGGTTATTAGTAAATGAATCTATAAGTACTGTGAAATTTTCCAAGAAAAGCATTTATACTATAACTTTTGCATGTGATGTTTATATTATTAGCTACAAATAATTATATTCAGTTACGATTTTATTTAAAAATAAATCTAAGTACTTCTGTTGTATAGCCTTGAATATGGATTATTGCCATGACATTATTTGTAAATGACAATATTAAGGTCATTATTGATTGAGGTTCTGAAAAAGAAGTTGTGTTATGCATATGCCTGCAAAATTTTATCTGATTATGCTTAAATTTAACTTATGCTTTTTTACTGCTCGTGGCGTATGAGTGCCTTATAAAGCAATCAGTAAGATTATAAGTCACTCAATATTTAAATCCGGTTTAAAATTATATAAATGAAGTTATGAAATTTAATACTGAAAAGGATTTTATTAACTTGAGAAGTTCAAAGAATACTGTATAGTTTTAGTTGGATTTATTGTACGAGGTTTGGATAATAAGTTTAATATTTATATATTTTTATGCAATTTACGTACAAAAATAAATTTAATAGATTATGCCTTAAATTGATTTAAACACTTGAATTGCTGAACCTTTATGATTCTTCAAATTAATTATTATTATTAATATTATTTTTAATTGCATAAAGTTATGGCATATGATACTTACGTCTACGTAAATATTTTCTACAACATGTGCTGGGGATATATAACAAGAAAATATTTTAGATAGTATTAATAATGGAGTGAAAAAACAATTCAAATTTAAATGCGACGAAATTGATCTACCTATCAGGTATTGGTCCATAACTTAAACGAACGGATTATTTTGAAAACACTCTGAACGCAGTTGATATAACATATCGTTGATATTTGATGCAGCAACCGAAATATTCAGATTAAATAAGTCCATATATCACAAACAACAGTTGCAGCTATACCTTCTGTAACATGAGAGGAAGAGAAGATCACTCATTTAATAAAGTGAATAAAAAAAAAATTTAATTTAATAAAAAAGAACTACATCTACTACTACTACAAGTATTTTTCAATAATTTGGTTTGAATATATTTTACAGTGTTCTGTGGTTAATGGGTTTAATAGAATTAGTCATTTATTTTCACTGTGTCAAGTCACTCTTTGCATGCAAAAAATTTATATATTTTGTATTTTAGGGTCACATAAATATAAAAACCATATACATATTCGATGTGGAGTGATACTTGCCAAATCAAATGTAAATGAATCGCTTTCAACCAAACGTTTTAGTAGTCAATGCAGCAAAAAAGAATTTGAGTAATCATACTCAAAAAATTATTACTATTTTTTACTATAATTTATAATTCATGTAATCTCAAGCCATCAAATTTAAGAATAAGCGTTCACTCTTGAATATCATGCGTACAATGTAATTAATACTTTAACTAATTGTGTAAATAATAGCAATACTATCAAATATATATTTAAATCTTTCTCATAATAGTTAATAGTTTACAAAAAAAAAACAATGTCTTGAACCTATCAAACAACCCTCGTGTATCAACTTTGCTTCAACCAGTGCTTTGCTCAGAAGCCAATTTATTTGTATGTAAATTTTCACAGCGGCAGATACAGAGCATAAAAGTACTTCATCGAGTGAATCAGTAAGAAAAAACTTAATGGAATTTGCATATATCAATTCAATGCGGCAACAGTTTACGCTTTATATGTAGAAAATATATAAATAAAAAATATGGGAAATTTATTTATAAAATATAACAAATTTATTTATGAAATGCTAAGCGTGAAATATGTATTGAGTTTGCTCTCGTTGCGCGATACTTCAGCTGCAAAATGTAAATATGCTAAGTAGACTATTACTGCCAATATCATGCCAGACATAAGCTGAGACCAACAGACAAATAAGCAAGTATCCGATACATATACGATTGAGTGGATGTGCAGAAGCAGGCCTTTTCCTTTATTTAACAATTTTGCAAGTTTTCTATATTGGATACGTTGAAGAGAATTTAAATTCATGTAAATTGTAGCAAATGGTGTGGTTTTAATAAGGCAAGTTCATTTGACTGAATACTCTGGTAAGTATTTATAAAGCTGTAGAAAAATCATTATGTACTTATAAGCAGATGTCTGAAACATTGAAAATATAAATGAGGAACGTTTATTAGGTATTAACCACACTCAGTTAAACTTCATGCACAGGCTTTAGTGACTTAATGTACTGAAAGTTAAACGCAACAAGTTAATAAGAATTAGCTTTTTAGTTTTAACTGACCATGAATTTATAGGAATACTGCTTTGTATTTATAAGCAATGATATTCATTTGAAATAAAATTAAATTCTTCATATATCTCTATGAAAATCTTGTTAAAGCAATAATTATATCAGATTGATATAATAAACACACTTGATTTTTTCATTACATATATAAACAAAATTATCTATTTGATTAGAATTCGAAGTTTGTCGCAAAACACCCCGCTTCTTTTCATACGTGAGGAAGATTTTTACACTGCCTTCTATATTTTTTTCATAATGAAGAACATTTTGAATAAAATTGTATATTACATTTCTGCTTCTTCCGATTTTTTTTGATATTTTAAAAATCAATAAAACTTTTTATTTTGACCTGTTCTTCATTGGTTGACGCTTTATTAAAACCCATTATTACTTCAAATCGTCATACTGTATTTAATATACACAAATAAATTAAAAAAAATTAATATTGTGTTGATCTGCTACTCATAAATAAAATTCGAACTTAAATGTGCTATTCAAGTGAAACGAAAAACGTATAGCTATTGATGCAAATTTAAAAGACAACAAAACCACAACAATTATTACAACAAAGTCATGAGATCCTTAGTAGATAACCAAATAATAATGCAAAAACAAAGTTTGCTATTCAAGTGAAACGGAGTGTTCTTATTACTAGTCTCTGAGCCTGAAAGTCACATAAATATATCCATTGTTTATATCCGGCTATAAACTATAAATAGTTTGGTTTAAAAAACGCAGAGAAATAAAATTTTTTTGTTTTAATATAAGTTTTAACAATGACAACTATCTACTATTACCGACTGTGAGGGCGGTAATAAATGGAGTTTTCTGGGACCGTCTCATATGCTTAGGAGTTGATTTTTGAACCAAAGAAGAAAAACATTCTGTAGAAAAACAAGTCTTTTGCTTAATCTGTCAAAAAAACCAAAAAACTCCAATAGTTTAAAAAATATTTAATCGTATGCCAAAATTTTATTCCATTACACATCCTTTAATTTGATATGTGTACTGTAACGGGTTGGAGTATTATGATGATTTAATGCCAATTTTATTTGAAAAATATCTATTATTCTTGCTAAAACCTTATGTATCTCTAAGTTATTGTTAATTTTTTCTTCTATTTACATATGATCACGTTTATATTAGGAACATTTTATGTGAAAAAATTTTCTTTGCATCTAACACCACTATTTCAAAATAAAAATTAATATTATGATACTATTTTTTAAAGTCTTATTATTATTTATAAAGTAAACTTAAATATCATTTACTTTTTTATACCTTATGGATATTTTTATGGTTTAATATAACACAATTGCTAAAAGAACACATATAAAATGTGAGAAAAAAACATTAAAATTATTTGCAATTAAACTCCAAAAAAACGGCTTTAAAACAAAAAAAAAAAGCAACGACCAAAGTATCGGCTAATAGCACTAAAGAAACAGAATAAATATGAAAAAATAAACAGGAACAAGGCAAGCTAACAGCACTAAAAACATGAAAGAAAATTTTATAAAATATTTTTATAGGTATTATTTAAAAAAAACCCAACATTTTTAGTTTAGAAATTATTTTTCAGCATTGACATACCGTATATAAAATGAAACAAAATAAAACATCATTAAACGATATTAGTCGTGTAATATATTTAATCTTACGGTATAACCTCGGTATAACATGAAAAAAAATTTTATGAAGTATTTCTATAGATATTATTTAAAAAACCAAACATTTTTAGCTAAGAAATTACTTTTCAGCTTTGATATACCGTATATAAAATCAAACAAAGTTAAACATCATAAAACGATATTAATCGTGAAATATATCTAATCTTACGGTATAACCTCCGCAGTATAGCAAAGACAATAACTGAATAAATAAAAATTTATAACAGCTTTCAGCGCCATCTGAATATCAGACTTATCCGAATCTGAAGGGTTGTAGTCCACCCCTATCATGACTTCAAAAAATACAATAACCAATCAAGGGATCGAAAACTGTTGTTTAGTTAAAAATGGCTGCCACGATATATTGCTCGTTTGAGAAATTAAGGGTAAGAAATTCCAATAAGGAGATTCGGTCCATTCAGACTTTATTATACGGTGTTTGCAGCAATTAGTGCACATTCAAATAAGAATCCCCAAACAGACAGCAACAAATTTCTAATAAGAAAATTAGTGTTTAATTTAAAAAGAAGTGAGAAAGTGAAATTATATTAAAAAAATTTAATAAAATTTTCAATAACGTTAAATTTAAAATGTTTAATTAGAATAAATTAAATTAATATATATATATAATTATAAAACAAGAGTATGAAACAAATAGAAATATCGATATATAGTCATTGAAAATAAATGTGTGTTTAAAAAGGATTTTGTATTTTTGAAATGCAACATCATCCTGAACCGACATATATGCCAGAGGTACCCTTTCAACCATTGTGGGGGCAAGAAGCACCGCCAGCTCCACCTATTGTACCATATCAGGATTTAATTGCAGGTTTTCCTTGCTCGGATATAGGTGAGAATATCTCCGAAAATGGAAACGGAAATAATATTTAATATTGATAATATTAGTGTAGAGATTTACTGCATAAGTTTTTCTCATATTTGTTCCGTAATTTTAGTACAGTTAGGCAGCATTTTTTTCGTATTTGTTTTAAGTAATTTTTTAATTCTGTATTTTTACATTAAAATTATATACAAAATCATAAAGAAATATTTCGAAATAATTTCATTATTTTAAATTTAAAGTTTATTAATAAAATTATATTAATATTACGACTAAAAAACCTATCACCAGTAATATCTTTCATAATAGATATTCATTCTAGGCAATCATTGGATAAATTAAACAACACCTGCATTTTTGAAAAATCTTTCTTTCAATAAATTAATAAATACCACATATTTTATAATGTTTTGAAGAATATATAAGATTTTGAATTCTTTATAAAGAATTCTGTACGACTTTGGAAGAGTGATTAAGTGGAAACATTTTATTCAATAATTAATTTATATAAGCAAAAGTTTTGGGCTTACTATATAACTGTTCCGTAAACTTCCAAATATATATAATCAGTGGTCCTTAAAAATTATATTTGTTTTAATTTTTTACATATGTCACAAGTACAAAGAATAGAATGTTGTTGACTTATATTAAATTTTTTGTTACTTAATTTTTTTGGATCAAAGTTACATTAAATACATATCACCCAAGATATTACCAGATATATCTTCACTACTATTTACAACAATTTGCAGTGTTCAGCACGACTGTCATATCATTAGTTTCTTAGATCCAACAAGAAGTTTATGCAATTATTAAAAATGTGTTAAAGAAGTTAAAAATTATACCGGAGTAAGAGTACTTTTGAAGAATAATTTGATAATTGGCACACGTGCATCGCTTCTGATAATAATTATTTTAAAGAACTGGTGATAAAAATTTCACATGTAATTTTATCATATTTGAGCAAATATAAAACTTAAACTAACCAAAATCCTCATATATTTTTACATTATATTATATTAAAGAAAGTACAGATTTAAAAACTATACATAATTTAGTACAATAAATTTATATGTCCAACTTTTTAAATTTTAATAGAAAAATGATAAAATTACTACATATTTTACTAATGCTTTATGATTCGTGTTTGTTACTATGGTAAGGTATCCATACTTAATAGAATAGATCTGAGACAATTTGTAGTTTCTCATATCAGCAGAATAAATCCAAATTAAGAGACAGAATGTCGGCTCTAATCTCAGAAAGCTGGAGACTACTTAAAAGATCATAGCCAAGAACACATATCTCCACCTTTTAGTTAAAAATAGTTAATAGTAGACATTTTGACCTTCATTCGAAAGGCAGAGTATCTTTTGTTCGGTGAGGGTTAGTTGCTAGCACATACAATCTACCACGGTCGCAGTAATCCGTTCCAATAGTAACCATACGCTCTATAAATATCCATTCCATTTTTTTCATGTTATGTGTTTTTACTTCGTCCCAATAGGCATAAAAAATTGAAATAAATGCCATTGAGTATGTACGTATTGTATGCATTATTGGTTATTCTTGAAGACAATAACTTATTTTAATAATACCTAGCAAAGGTTATTCTATTAAAACAAAAGTAAAGAAAATCATTTAAATTAGATTACCATTGTTATGCGATAATGGATTATTAGTTTCATTCAAACCAGTTTTGAGTTTTTGTAATACCCATAGATTTGGTATTTGAAGCAGAAATATCTGATGATCTACTATAAAATTGATTAAATATAAATTGGTTGAAATTTTAATATTTCTGATTCTCTCATTTCCTATGCTTTCCATATTGAAAATAGATCAATTACTTTTATTTGTCAATGTAAATGAAATGCTGTAAATTCTTCATATTTTTCAATTAACTTCAAAAAACATATTTTATATTATTTTAATTAATTGAATTTTCGGCTGACCATACAGCTGTTTCGAGTATTGCCAAATACCCATCATCAGTGGTCTTGGAAATAATTCTTGCATTTAATTATTCGTATATAATTATTTTTGAGACTGCAAGGTGCGCTGATTCTAAGCTTCACATTTGGCAGGACCCGAGTTCGATTCCCGGTACTTGCAGTATCAAAAATAATTATTTACGAATAATTAAATACAAGAACTATTTCCAAGACCACTGATGATGAGTATTTGGCAATACTCGAAACAGCTGTATGGTCAGCCAAATATTCAATTAATTAAAATAATGTAAAAAATAAAATTTTTGTTGTTGTAATTCACTACTGTTCGAAAAAATCTCTTTCAAAAACATTTTAATGAAAACAGTAGTCAAGAGAGTAATTGAGGATGGAGATTGAGAGATTTATGAAACTATCGTTATTTTCAATTGTTAAGTGATTTTTAATTTTCAAAAGCGTACGTTTTACTCTAAATTTTGGGATAATAAATATTACAAAATATGTAAAGCCCATAAGATTTTTAATAATTGTGGTTTTCTCCGTAGGAAAGCTCTATTGTGGTGCATATGTATACACCAAGAAGTGGTATAAAAATATAAAATATCTGAAAATATCTCTTATATCCTTGATTCTAATGCCCTTTATATTTCCTGCAAGTGTGATTTCAATGCGTGTTTTTGGGACTTGTCAGTACTAAACTGTGGTCTATTCGTTCCACCGAAATAATTCACATTACTTTTCTATCATATCTGATGCCACATTATATATATATGCAAATCAAAACACATATTAACTGAAATTTACATTTTAATTATCTTTTTATTAGTTAAAAAAATTATAATAGTTCATATATATTCATTAGCAATACTAACCACTAGAATATATTTTAATTATTATTTTAATATAATAAAACTGAAATATTTATTTTCAATGACATTTCAGCACTTTGGCAGCGCTCCCAAGTCGGCAGCTTGGTTAATCAACGACCAGGAAGTATGCGAAGTAGCAATCAATCATTATCCAATGGCAGTTCTACTAAAAAGACACGTCGACGTGTTGCATCCTTGGCACAAAGACGTGCTGCAAACATACGCGAACGCCGTCGCATGTTCAATCTTAATGAAGCTTTCGACAAATTGCGTCGGAAGGTGCCAACTTTCGCATATGAGAAGAGGCTTTCGCGCATTGAAACTCTTCGATTAGCTATAACGTACATAGGCTTTATGACAGAATTACTCACTGGCGCTCCTATCAATACACACAAAAGTCGTTCTGCTGATATTTATGGAAGCATGAACGGTCACCATCATCCTTCGGCTATGGCACATCATCTGCATCCGGCGGCATTTCAAAGAGATTTTGTTTCACCTTACAATCACAGTTTGGGTTAAAAAGTGACAATGACAAATATTTACCATGAGGTTAATACGTGAAGTCAATTTTTTTTAGTATTATTTAAATTAAATTTAGTCTGTATTTGTTTCTTGCTGTTGACTAATTTTAATGGCTAATTTTTAATTATTTATATTTAATGAATATTGTATATATATATGATAAATATGTTTATGTATAATAAATACATGTAATATTGATAAAATGATTTTTGTGTATGTTTATAAATATTAATTTTAGTAAAATGTAAATAAAATTGCAATATGTGAAAATTATAATTTTGCTTATTAAAATTTATGTTCCGTTAGTATCACTGAATTATAAAATACTCGAAAATAGTTTTGAAACAACTGTCATAATATTTCCTAAAATTGCAAGAATCGTGGATGTCCGCTTTTGACGATAAACGGCATATAAAAAATAACAACTAATAACAGCGTTTAATTATAATGCCAAAGCAGCAAATAAAATTGATTATATTAAAAAATAGAAATCACATTAAGAACTCCAGCTTTCTGAAGGAAATTCAAGATATACTACAAGAGATTGACTAGGTGAACCAAATTGATAAAACTATTATAGCATATTATAGCAAACACTATTTAAATACTCAAACGAGTAAAGCAGTAACATTAATCAACTAATTTTTACCGACAATATTACAGTTAGTTATTACTGTAATATGGAGATAGAATTTTTGCAGTAATGAAAACCACACAATACCACACAAATACCACACAAGTTTCTAGACTACGCCAATGTTTCTTAAGTACTGAAAGTGGTGTCACTTAAAATTGTTACCAAGTGCCTACAAAAGCCAGCTCTTGATGCACCAGTACACTTCTCCAGGATAATGACATCCTAAAACAAGAATCACAGAGAAATGCAGCGGACTCGTAGGCAATCTACGTACAGTCTATCACAGACCTAATCAGAGCTTCTAAGCTCTGATTCAAAATTTAATATATACGATCTTCGTATAATATTTGTGTTTCTCACAAAAAAAAATATTGTTAACAGGTTTACCGTCTCTTTTATAACAGTTAATCTATTTTTAATTAAAACATTGAACGTATATTGAAATAAAATAGCTTTGCAACAACTTTGATTTATAAATGTAAAATTTAAGAGTTGTTATGTAAATATTCTTCAAAATAATTGAATATAAAACTGTCTTCGCGCTTCTATCATTGTATAACTTTTACTTCCGCCAGAAAAGTAGTAAAAAAATTATAAATTCTATTGAGTTCCTCCAGATCCAGATCCATTAATAACAACATTGACTTCTCTACTCAAATTTTATATTTCGTCAGACAGCTATTTTAAGATTACAGTTCCCTTATAGAAAATTGTCAAATAAAATGTAAAACTCATAAATTCTTACATCATATTTTTCATTTATATAGAACGTAATCTTAGCAACATAAAAATAACAGTCACAAAATTAATCAATTAACTTAAATAAAATTAATCTGTTAAATTCTGTTATCGCTGAATATTGTGTAAACACACTAAAACTAACTTTAATAAAAGTTATTCAATATGCATTCACATGAACGAACACTAAAAAAATGTTTAATGGTAGGAACCTGAGTTCTAAATCATATTTGGTATATCTATTCTTTGAGAATTTTTTTTTAAAGCTAGTTATTGGCGCCTAGAGATAGGTTTTAGACTATACTTAATAAAATCAAACTTCTAACGAGATGACGTTTTTATGCTTCAGGCTGTACCAGTGTTTCACAACATGGTCCCAACTCTTTCTTTCTCTTTCTCTTTCTTGGTCCCAACTAGGTAATTGGAAATTAAAACTTTTACACAAATTGCTCCAGTTTATTTTTATTTACATTTGCTGATACATTTACTATTTCACAATTATCAACGGATACAAAATAATTTAAGTAGGTTTATTTTTGTAAAAACCAATATTAGTTATAATTCAATATTTATTTTTTATAAATTTCAGTTTTAGAATCTAATTTTGTAAAGATAAAAAAAGAATATTTGAGTGGTTTTGGCAGTTATAAATTTTGAATGCCCAGTTTCTATTATTAGATTTGGATTCCAATCAAAATTTTTTTTAAGTACTTACAAACAATATAGAACATTTCCAGCAGAATATTATAAGTAGATTTCCAGTTATTTAATGCCCATCTTATAAATTTATTGCTAAATGCTAAAGGAAAGCAGCAAATTGATTATATTTACAGATTAAAGTTATAAAATTCTATACTCAGATAAATGGGCTCTCAACATAACCAACACACTACAACAGCATATGAACCTTATCCTGGAGTATTTCCAGAAATTGATATTAAAAATCAATAATAAAAAAAACTCAAGCTCTGTTTATTATGCGTAAGTGGAGACAAAACCTGTCGAGATTGAGAGTGGGAGATATGGTAATAAACTGGGAGGATAGCATTAAATAATCGGCATCACGTTGGACAAACAATTCAAAGGCTTACACATGCTCAACTGAAAAGAATTAGCTGTGACAAAATACTTCATCACCTCCAACCGCTATTCAAAAATGAAAATCTCAATGCTAAGAACAGGAAGCTAATATATAACCAAATAATTCGTCCGTCACTCCTATATGGATGTGTAGCTTTTAAAAAAGCCTCAAACACTACTATTCGCCAGCTAGAAATTGCACAAAGCCAGATTTTCAGAAGACTTTTCAAGGTACCATGATACATTAGGACGAATGACAGCGTCAGGAACCTCAAGATTCATCCGATCAAAAAGAACATAAAGGATGGAACCCTGAAATTATTTACGAAAACTGACAGACTTACCAACACCGCGTTATCAAATCTCAGAATGGTGACAGGCTCCTCGGGGAGGTATACAGATCTGAGGTCAATTATTGCTTAGTCTGATGAAGTGATAAACAACAATCCAGTCAAGGCGTAAAGAGGGATTTGAAGATACCTCGCAGTTAATAGAGAGTTAAAGTGCTCAAGTGCACTGGCTCAAATAGCTACAACATAATAATATAGATTGATTTATAGAGATTTTATGTATATGCCATATCTTTAAATTACCTTACGATTTTTCAACTTTCAATGTGATGTATTGTATTGTATAAATTCATTAGAAGCAATTTTAAGTCCTGTTATATAAAATATCATAACGTTATAGAGCCCTGCGAGTTATTGAAAACTATTTAAAACCCAGACAAAAGATTAGTCGTTTAATTTACAATTCGAAAGGAAACACCGAAATCAACCTGATAATCCTCTAATTGACTTTAAGCATGAACACTTGTTATTTCTGTTGTATTATTTGAGTGCGGTGGTTTCAGTGGTCGATTCTGTGAGAAAACCTTCACCTGTTTCAGGCCCCTTTTATAATGAGTGATGTAACAAGTTGAAGAGATAATTTATTTTTTTTAATTTTTCATAGTAAACAAAGCGTAAAATTATTATTAATAAATAAAGTAGAACAGATTGTCTTTTGCGTAACTACCCTTAATATATCGACAAACTAACCCCGGTGCTGGACCCAGTTCTGTTTCATATTAGCAAATGTTGCATTATATTTCGCTAAACGGCAAGGAATTTGCGTTGAACGCTTATTTTTTGACAGTTTTATGCCTTAACGCGTTTAATATGCTTATTAAGATAGTGTTGTAAAACAGCCAAAAGTAACCGGTTATTTTTTATACAAACATTTTTATAGATTCATATTCATATGACACATAAATGTTAAATAAAATATTTGTTTAATAAAATAATTAATTAAACACATAGTATGATATATTCCATCTTTTATTGGTTTCTGCAATAATAAGTTATGTTTATGTTACAGAGGTAAACAAATATTTCATAAATATTATTAAAGTAAATTTTTTTTTATGGAATAAGACAGTTATTGTAAATAAATTCTGAATCTCCAAACCACATACATTCATAATTATTTGATATTAAAATTTGAAGGTGTAAGACAGTAGCTTGCTTAAAGTATAAATAATCCATATATTGATGTTTCATTTAAATTTCAATGAAATTCAATTCCTTTCATATATGCACAAACATAAAGCAATTATATTTTAGATTACTTTATCGTATTCGGTACTATAATGTATAATATTATCTTAGCACTATATGGCATTTACACATATATCACTGACCCTTTTAATCTATTTTACACCACAAAACGATTACCACCCCTTATCAAGATTTCATAAATCCATTCTAATTTGATCTCATTTTGTGCATAACTTGGAATGCATTTTTTTTATGTAATAAACTAGCATCAAGAATCTGTACAGGAATCAGAGCAAAAACACAACAAATTAATTTCCGTAAAAATAAAACAAAAAAGACAGGCTGCTCTACCCTCGGTAAATTTACAAAGAAGAAATGCTACTATTTATTGTTGGAGGGTATAATAAGGTAAGCCAATTGTTTTTATTCCAATATTAAATTTGTTCAGTTCTCCGTAAAAGGCGTACAATATGTTTTAAAGGATTAGTGACACTTCACGCAACGTCAGTAAGGCATAAAAGGGGGTGCTTAAGCCAATTGATACATTTTATAGAACACAAGTCACTTGTTAGCGGATAAGGACACTGCTGAGTTAAGTAACTGCATATGGTTTGAACTGAAGAGGATTCACGTGCCAATGATTAGTTAACATATTTGCCTTCTAGGGACTTTATTAAAATTTTATTAAATCAAAATATGTTGGCATTGATAAACGCTTTAAGATGGAATACCTGCTGCTTTCTTGATATCCAGCAGAGTTGGAATGTGAGTGAAGCTAAAGGAGTTAAAGTGCTTGGGAAAAATCCAAATAAATTTTTTGAAACAATATTTAATTTATAATTGTTTTTTTAATTATTGCAATCAAAAAATTTTACTTTATTTGATTCAATTTATATCAACATATAAAATTAAATCGTTAAGTGTTGTGACATATAAACACTACAGAATTCTTTATGACTTGTTACAAAAAGCATTCTACAGTCCAACATTATTTGTAATCTGTTTTAGTCAATCCATTTGAATTATTTTTAAATATCAAATCTATCTATCAAAATAAGAAATAATGCCATAGTATTTCCTCTAACATCAAATTATGGATCACTCAATCATGTTCTCAACCCTCTGTAGTTTACTACATATAATTTTATACAGTACATATGCATATTTTATTAAAAAAAATATTCTGATAATTTTATATTAAAGATATTTTTTAATAAAATTTATAATAATTTATTGTTTTAATAACCAAAAAATTATTAATAATAATTTTGTTTTTAAACAGGCTAATTGGTCAACAGTTAAATAACACACTTTTTAAAAATATTGTTTTGCTTATAAAAAAATTTAGGGTTCCCTGGAGATGACTATAGAATATAACCGAAATATTGGTTCAAATAAAATTTAAAAAAACTTTTTTTTCTGAAAAGTGTATTATTTAACTATTAACCAATTAGCCCGTTTAAAAACAAAATTATTAATAATTAAATTTATAGAATATTATTAATTTACTATAATGTTTTCGGAAATATCTTATTTTTTAATGAAAATATTTTTCAAAGATATTTATATACTACTCTAAATTCATTAAGAGCAGCAACGCCTTGGAATAAACTGCATATTTTTGTCCCTGAAAGATATAGTACGAAAAGCGAATATGATAGAATTACTTCACTTTTTGACATATCGAATAATTTCTATTGATACCAATTTTTACTTCTTCTATTTCAATTACTAGTAAATAATTAGTACACTTTAACAACGGTAGTATCTTTATGAACTCCCACTATGTACAGCAGAAACTATAGCGCATGAAGAAGGATCTAAAAATCATTAGGGAATAGAAAAGTGCTAATAATACCATCTGCCTAATAAAGTTTTATGTTGACAGTCTTGTGTTAGTGTTATATACCAAAGTGAAAAAATAGTTAAACCATCATTATGATATGACTTTCTAGTTATGTATTATTAATACAGTTGCGTGTTTTATAAGCAAATAAAAAAAATTGTAACAATAAAACAGAAAGGGTAAAAGTATTAAAAGTATTGCCATTAAACCTAATTTAGATCCTATTAATGGGAAATTGTGTCCCACTCTTCATACCAGGGAAAATTTTATTTAGCAAAAATAACATGAAAACAGCAGTGAACAATATAAGAAAAGTTGTAAACATCTACAAAACATCCTTAAATTTATTTTAAAAACCTAATTGCTTTATTCAAGATGATGAGACTATTCTGATTATATTTCTTAAAAGCCAAAACAAAATATGTCTTATCAACACAAAATGACTTTTGTTCAAATATAATATAGTGCTTCGATTTTATCTTGATAAATATACATATCATGATAAAGTAATCTAGTAAGTAAGCCAAATTGCTTTCAAATATTTGAAGTATGACAATGCGTTTATACTATTTAATCATGGGAAAATTTGAAGTATCAGTTATCTCTTGATAAATTATCAAAATATATGGGTATACGTAAATTGAATATCGAATACCGTAAATGCAAATCATTATAAACTAATCTTAGAAACATTTTTCTATGTAGACTTCATATTATCAACTGAAAAAGTAATATCATGCTACAATTTAATATTAAAAAAAAAATTGTGATTTCTGAATAAAAATAATTTCAAACAATTAGAGAAATAGTTTATACTTACCCATTTATTTAGTCAAAACTATAACTATAATTAATTATTTATATTTAAACTAAATATATTTTATTAAAATATTATTACGAATCGCATAACCAGACGGGAGAGTTTAAGCCCTTTAAGCCATAGTTATTCGAAAAGATGTGTGATTGGTTGCACTCTAATTAATAATAGAACTACTGAAAGTTTTGCGTTAGACCGAAACACACTTACAGTCATCTAAGCAAGTAAGTAAAAAGTCATATCACAATATCACAATAATATATTATTATATTAGAATGAGATATTCATAGCCCAATATAAGTTTCAACTCCTTCAATTTTGAATATTCTAGTATCCAAGTTGTAGAGGAACCATTAAAATACGAAGAAAAATTTTCAATCTATTGATAGAATACATGGCCCTATAAAGTAAATAAAATGACTTCTTCGCTTATGAAACAAAAAATGTAATACTATCATCTGTTTAACAGAAGTCACCAGAAGAACTTACTACACATATTTGAATATTTAGGTAAATATGCAAAAAGATATTTTTAATCAATTTTAATTTGAGTCAAAACCTAAAGTTTCAATTGTTGCTGTTTCTTTAGGAAAAATCTTTAGATATCATTTCGACAATAAAACTTAATTAAGATCAGTTCAATTGAACTGCAGATGAATTTTTCCAAAAATTTATTAATTTAAATTATAATTTTTAAAAAACTTAGTTGCAATAGAAAAATTTTAATGAAATTCCTGAGAGTACATACGCTGAAGAATATTTAATGGTCACAATAGCTGTTATACAAATCGATATATTGACACTAATAAACCACCTAACAAATATCTCTTGAAACAAAACATTCTACCAAATTTGTAAGTATTCTTTTCATTTTTTAAAAGCAATAAAGTGTATGAATAAGAAAAATTTCTTACATATATAATACATGTAACCATACATATTATGGTGTGATAAAATATTATCAATTAATGTGTTTATTAAAGAATTGTTGTTGATGTTGCATGTTTTTATATGTGTTTTTTTAAGCAGAACCCATTTCAGCAAAATCCGATATTTCGGGAACCACGTTATATCAATATATAAACGATATTATCAAAACCAACCAACCAATCGTAGCACATTGGAATCAGCAATAATGCCTAAAATTGTTAAAATTTAAGAAATTATTTAATATTCTGTACAACAATATTCTATATTAACTTATACTAATATGTATACATTATATATAAAGAATTATGAAACTTATTTATAATTGAAAAATTCGTAATTAAATTCTTTATATTGAATTAAAGCTACTCCAAAATATTATAATTTAAAACAAGAAATAATGTAATCAATATAAATTTATTTTGAAAATTCATGTTTAATCAATATTTAAGCAAATATCTAATCAATTCTTCGGATAAGACAAAGCAGCCTCTACAAACACAGAGAAGAAAGATACACCAACGTTTCTATATGACTTGCAATCAATACCCCAAACTAAGGTTGCCACTTAAAATACAAACTGATAAACAGCAGAATAAAAGATTGGAGAGTAGAATTCCATTCTCAAACTCTCTAGTTCTCAACGCTCTCAGATCTCCGATTAGAAGCTTTTGCCTACTTAAAAGCAATTTTTGCGTTCCAGTTTTTAGTTGACTTTTGCACATAGAGTGTGCTTGATAGTAATCTGTCAATTATATATATAATTTTTAAAAGTGACTGAAATGACTGAATCTAAAGAAAATAATGAAACTGCTGGTGGTCCTCACATACCGGATTGGTTAACTGAAGAACTATTTGTAAATATTTTAAAAGAAAAATTCCCAGAATTCCAAAAAATACAAGAATTTGATATTGTGCCGGCTGTTGGCACAGGAGAGAATTATATGACGATTTTATTACGAGTAAATATTGACATTGAACTAAAAGGTAAAAGTATTGGCGGCAAGAGATCTCGCTTGTAAACAAAGCTAATAATAACAACAAAAATATTTTATTTTCATGAAAATGTTTATAAATAAAATGTTTATTTACTATTTAAACACGTGTGTACATAACATTGTACAGCTAAAAAAAATATAACAAATCTCTTTGACGTCATTATCTCTTATTTGTAGCGCTACATCCAGTCGAAATAATCTATAACATAACTATGGAGAATATATTTCATAAGACTGCAGTGATTAGAAAAAAAATTACAACTTTTAGATAAAAAAAGAAATAAATACATTTTAAACCTTCTAAATTATAGTTTTTGTTAATAAATTAAAATCGTTTAAATAGTTTTTGCTTAATTTTAATTGTTACTAAATACTTAAATCTATAACTTCTAAATGTAAATCCGATAATTTATATATTCTTTAATACTGATGCTTTATTAAAAAGCAAAAAAGATTTTCTAATATCACTATCGACTTTTTAAAATATTTAAACGATTATAAAACAAAAAATATTTACATACATTTTAATTAAAAACTTATCACTTTTTAGACCCAAGTCTTTAAAAAAAACATAATAATTTGGAAAAATTAAGGATATTATAGAATACTATTAACAACATAAACATATATAGTTTTTGTTCCATTGACTTAAGAACTGTTAGTAATAAAAGAAATGATATTAACCTTAGACTTTATTATTGGGGTATAATTCATACTATCAGTGTTATGCACTGAAAGTATAATAACAAGTATAGTAATAATAGTAATTGTTTTTAATCTCAAAAATAAAACTCTAAAATCAAATATACATAAAAGTTTAGTTCTGATTAACAGCGATCATAAAAGACATAGAGATCAGATATCCATATTTATATGAATAACCAACATCAAATATAGCACACCATAAATTAGACTTATTCGATTATAGATAGCTATAACTAAAATATAATTATGAGCTATTTTATTATTTAATTGCAGATAGAAATATATATTTAAAATATTTGAAAAGATTTTTAATATTGTAATTATTTATTCAGTAAATTTTTTTGTAAATCTCGTATTTTCAGTGCAGTTATCTAGCATTTTTTAAAATTTAATTTTTCATTTGGTACATTGCAACCTTTTAAGTGCTATTAGGTACACTAATGCATTTTATATGAAATGTAAATGTAAGAATAATTTTTTACTGTAGGATATGAACATCTGATGTGACGATCAAACGCAAATACATAAAAATAAATATAAATATATACTAAAATCTCTATACTTTAGACCTCCACTCTAAATTTTTTGTAATATGTTTCAAAAAATTTAAATTAGTCTGAAAAATAAAATATACTCCAATAAACTAAATTTAATTATATTCTTTTTAGATGGTTCCATAACTCAAACATCATATATAGTCAAGTTACAGCCAAAATCGATTGAAATGCAAGGACTATTAAAAATATGGCAAGTGTTTGAAAAAGAAGAAAATACTTATACAAAATATTTGCCAGCTTTTGAAAAACTCTACAAAGATGCTGGGAAAGAAATTAAATTTGCGCCAAATATAATTCTACTAAACAGTGCAATATCTGATCCAGCTATAATAATGGAAGATTTACGTATAAGGAATTTTAAAAATGCCAAAAGACAGGATGGTTTAGACATAGAACATACAAAAGCCGCCTTAGAGAAACTAGCACAATTTCACGCTGCCTCAGCATGTTACTATGAAAACAATGGACCATATCCTGATATGTATTTACAATGCTTATGTGGCAATATGGATCTGTATGAAGAGTACAGAAATAATATGGTGAATTTATTTTGTCAAAATTTGGAATTATACGATGCCAAACCTATAGAGGAGAAATTTGTAAGAATATGAATATTATAACAATATATTTTTAATTAAAAATATTTTGTACTTTTTAATACCATTAATTTTCAGAGAAAATTTGCTGCCGAAGTACCAGATCAATTTCAAGCGGTATCCAAACCTCTACCTGAAGAATTTAATGTACTGAATCATGGTGACTGTTGGTCGAATAATATAATGTTTCAATATAATGCAGAGGGTAAAATAATTGATACGCATTTCGTTGACTTACAAATGAGTCGTTATGGGTCACCGGCACAGGATTTAAATTACTTACTGTTATCTTCAACCTCTTTGGAGCATAAGGTGAAGAAGTTTGATTATTTCCTTTATTTTTATCATGACAAATTGGTGGAAAATTTAAAATTATTAAATTATACCAAACCAATTCCAACACTAAAGAAATTACATATAGAAATGCTGAAATATAATGAGTGGAGTAAGTACATATATAGCACATTTCGTTTTGAACTCATATATATATTGTATACATATATGAGTTAATTGTTATATATTAATAAATTCTTTTTGTCTTCATAGTTTTTGCAGTGTTACTCAATGTAATGCCAGTTGTACTGTTTGAGCCCTCGAAGAATGCTAATTCGGAGAACTTAATAAGTGAAAATGAGGAAGGCCAGAATTTAAAAATAGCTATGTTTAGAAATAAGACTTATGCAGCGCATGTAACACAATTAATACCTTGGCTAGATAAACGTGGTCTTTTGGAGTATTTACCAAATTTATGCTTTTAAAAAATGTACTCTATTGTTAAATAAGAATAAATGTAAATGAGTTGTAATTTTATTGTTTACTTATTCCAGATTTGTAATAAAGTCAATTAATTTGTACAAAATATATACATTAACAATTCTATATTAAATAAAAGTATAAAAGTACAAATCAAAAGCAATAGATTCAATCAAATTTATTCGTAATTCAATTGGTATTGAAACTAGAAAAAAAAAGCTGTGAATAGTTAAAATTTTTTGCACAATCTTAGTTAGAAAAGTAGCTTAAAACAAAGCGCCATTGATTAAATTTATCTATTAAACAAATGAATAAAAAAAATAAAATTGCGCAGTTGAGACATTTGAAATTCGGTAACGTGTTTATTAAATCATTGTTGATAGAGCCCCAAACTGAAGTCACCATTTTATTTTTTTATATACTTATTTATTGTACTCACTATGTAGAAATCTACGATCTAAACAAATTATAATCAAATACGTATGTACATACAGTCGTACATAATATTTTTCTATTACTCTACCTATTAACTATTTACGTGTTCCCATACTTTTACATATGTATTTCAATAACAAATTACAATCAATAAAACATAATTCTACCCTACACATTAGATAAGTGGTCGCACTTATGATCTACATATAGCTTGAACTGATATCAGGTGCAATACTAATTCAAATATAGATTATAAAAGAAACACTGATAGGAAATTGTTTGATATACATAATAAAATGATAAAGCAAGAAATATTATCAACGAAACTAATTAGTGGTCTATTATTGGTCTGGGTTTTTTTAGTTATAAACTGAGTAAGAAGACCAATAAAATCTGTACTTCAATGCGTTAAAAAGACGAAAAGATATTTTTGTAAAAGGTAATTTACAAAGGTTTAAACTTACAAAATACCTACGGACAGGAGATTACATGATTCAACATTATTTTAATATATTTCTAAGAAATCTATTAACTGTATAATAACTAAGTCACTGATAAGTCACTGGCGGTTTTTAAATTGACACGCCAGTAGTTTATAACACATGATAACTGAAAATTCAACTATATATATTTCATAAAATACGGATTTTAATAATAAACCGTATTGAATCTTTTATTTTGGAAAGTGTGTTTACATATATTATTATTATTTTAGAAAGAATGTTAAATATAAAAAAGGTTTTTATATTCAATGTTCGTGAGCAAATAAATTTTATATTATTTATTTATAAATTTTATTTATTTATAGAATTGTTTGGTAACACCTTGTTATTATTCTCAAATGAATTTAATACGGAGAGTCTTCTGGTCTTATTTTTTATATATGTCCAACTCCGATTTGGATCAAAATGAAAATATACGCTAAATGTATTTTGTCGAATAGCAATCCAGAACCCTGAAGTTTTCTATTATATTCTAAACTAATCCATTCCAATCATAAACGGAATTGTATGACTTGCAGAAGTTTAGATTCTTTTTTTTTCTTTAAAAAAATCTTTAAACATAACACAATAAAAATATCATTAAATAAATTTTGATTAGAAATTTAAGTTAAGATAAGATGTTTATAGCTCACCCTTAATATCAGCATTAAAAAGAACATTCAATAAATTAAAGGTCTACAGAATGACGACCTACCACTCGAATTGTTGAAAACCACTTATTATTTCGGAACAAGTTGGGTGATTTTAAGTCTCATAGAAATCATGAAAACTCAAAGTAATGGCCCAAGGTAGTGCAGTGTACTATGTGGATATAAACCAAAACCCTAAACCGAAAATTAAAATTTCTAATCATAAAATTTTAAAAACACAGGTTTTGAGTCTGTATAATGTCCTAAACTTTTTACAACCACGAATCAACTTTACTATTAAGTGTGTGCAATACTTGAACTAAACTAAGAAGATAATGTCTCTAATCATTGCTAGATATAATAAGTATTATTATGTGTAATAATTTAAGTAAACCCCAAGTAAATCTGTTGTTTTCAAACTCAAATACATATATATAGTTTCTCATAACTAAAACTAAAATTTAAATTAAAGTTGCGAACTAGATAGATCAAAGCAATTAATTTTGTTTGCTTGTATGAAAGTTTTTAAAAATTTTAACATTGCTTCTAAAATATATACCTATAAGTATATAGGGTATAATTAAAAGTTTATGTAATAAGAACACAATCAAATAGATATGACGTTGAAGCGTGTCAATTACGAATTTAAATATTTTTTCAAATCATTCTGATATAAAATTTATGAAGCAAATATCGTATCAAATATTTATTTAATATGTTATTTTTTATTTTTAAAATGTATATTAGCTTAATCAATACAATCGGCACAATTTGATTTCAAAAAACCTCTATGAATGAGCTAAGCTAAAATTTTAAATATTTTTCTCACATACTTAACTATTACCAAGTCTAATAGTTAAGTATTTGTAATAGTCAAGCTGTTATCTAGAAATGATACTGCGTGATTATTAATGAGCGATTAGAATTATTATTACAATAAAATAACAATAGCAAAATGTTTCTATATATAAAAACAACAACATTCGTAAATTTTATCTGTCAAGTAATGCTGATATCGATTAAAATCTTGTACTCATAGATATAAACTTAGCAGATAAACTGAACGTAGAGCTTATCAGACCTAATAAGCGGAGAGTAAAAATATATATATAAGCTTATTCGAACTATTATGAATTATTTTAACTATATTCTATTAAATTAAATTTCAGTTGACTAAAGTTTATGCATGTGGCAGGTTCACATTAGAAGTTTATTCTGAAAAAAATACACAAAATTTGAATTAAATTTAATAAATATTTAAATTTAAAATGGGTGCGCGTAAATCAAAATCCAGCTACGTTGTATCTAATCAAGATTTCACTTATGAAGGATCAACAGCGACATCAGCACCAACGACACAGCCTGCACCAATAGTACAACCTGCCGTCGAAGAAAATCGAACGCCAGTCACAGCAACTACAGTGGAAACACGGCATGTAGAGAATACAGAAGTGAAACTACCAGAGATCGATATGAGTGTAGTGCCAACTTGGTTGACCGAAGAATACTTCGTAGATATACTCAAAGAAAATGTACCTAATTTCGATAAAATTACCGATTTCAAAGTGAAGCCAGCATTGAGACCAGGTGAAAATTATGCCACCCTTATGCTGCGTGTAAATATTGAAGTAGTATTGACAGGTAAGAATTCTATAAGAATATGATAAAATTATGAAATTTTATGAAGAATATATTGAAGAGAATATGATAATCTCTTTATTTATTACTTATTCGGTATAAACTTTATTTTCTTCAGATAAAAACAGCAAAGCTATTTCGTATATGTTGAAAGTGCCTCACGATACTGAACAAATGAGACAAATGGCAGCATTAATGAATATGTTCATACCAGAAAACGAAATGTATTTCGATATTGTTCCCGAACTTGAAGAAATGTATAAATCAGTGGGCTTGGAAATATCATTTGGTGCTAAGGCTTATAAGTTTAAAAAACAACCAATTACCGATACTGTTTTACTCGAAGATTTAGGTCCGCTAGGCTACAAAAATCGTGATCGCTTGCTTGGATGCGATGTGGAGCACACTCAATGGGTTCTCAAGAAATTAGCACAATTTCACGCGGTTTCTGCCACACGCGTAGCTACTAAAGGACCATTTTCCAAAATAATTATGGAAGGATTTTTCGATGTCGCAAGGCCAATTTTTGATACTATGATGAAATCATTTACAGATCAATTTTTATCTTGTATTAAATGTTATGAAAATGGAGAGTTTTATGCACCATTCATAGTAAGTTCACTTAATTGTGTTGTCTTGTGCATGTCATAAAGTCATGAAGTAAGATAGGGGGAAAACAATAGACAGTAATTATGAGAAATCTTTATGTATGTACAGTACAAACATAAATTAGATGTTGATAGCCGCTTTAAAATTTGCGTTACATATTAATTTTATTTGTCATAGACAAAAAAATCATTTCTTAACTAATATTTAATTTTATACATTAAAAACGAATTTGTTAACATATTCTAACATTTGATTAAATTGATTATTAAATTATTAAAATATAATTTTTCTATTATTTCTAGAAATCATACTTTGACCAAATAGCAGAATATTCCGGTTTTTTCGTACCAGACCCAAATGAATTTAGTGTTATTAACCATGGAGATTGCTGGTCTAATAATATTCTATTTCAATATGCAAATGATGGCAAAATATTAGACACAAAATTTGTTGATCTACAATTACCGCGATATGGTTCACCTGCTCAAGATTTGAACTACTTTCTACTGACTTCCACTTCCCTTGATATTAAATTGAATCAATTTGATCATTTTTTACGCTATTATTATGATAATTTAATCGAACATCTTAAATTGTTAAAATATCCCAAAGACATGCCAACATTAAGTGAGCTACACGTACAAATGCTTATGTATAGCTTTTGGGGAGTAAGTGCTAGTATAACAACATTACCTGCTGTGTTATTAGATCCAACGGAAAAAGCCAGCTTTGATAATTTTTTGTCAGATGGTGCCGAAGGTGTAGAATTTAAAAATTTGCTTTTCTCCAATTCTCGATATATCCAACATATATCGAAAATATTACCTTGGTTTTATAATCGTGGTTGTTTGGAACCATTGTAAGTAAAATTTATTTTGTTTACCGATTATCTTAAGTTCAGCGACAGTTGAAATATTATACAAAAATCTAAAATTTTATTTTATTTTAGTACAAATAAACCACTCACTGCAATTCAAATATCAACGCCAGTAGAAATTTTACAAGTCACTGAGACCTCTGTTGAAGTACCCGCCGTTACGTCGGCGAATGACCAACAAGCAAAACCGAAGTACCCAGCATGGGTAACAGAAACGTATTTTATTGATATTTTAGAAAAGGAAATACCAAACTTCAAAAAGATAAGCAAATTTGAGATAAACCCAGCAACAAGTTCGGGAGACAATTACTCATCTATTATGCTTAGAATTGACATCGAAACCGAACTAACAGGTAAATCTTAAATAGGCAGAATTACTTTTCTTTATTTACTTATGTCATTAAAATCCAGATGGTACTATTCAACCGAAGTCATTTATGCTGAAAATACCTTTAGACACTGAAAAAGCTAGCGCTATGATGAAAGTTTTCAATACTTTCAAGAAAGAAATGGCTATGTACGATATTGTGCCACAGCTTGAAAATATTTATAAAGAAGCTGGACACGAAATAGTATTTGCACCCAAGAGTTACAAGTTCGTGAAGGATACAAATTGTGATCATTTACTTTTGGAAAATTTACGTACTCTTGGTTTTAAGAATGCGGACCGCATTGCTGGTTTAGATATGGAACATACCAAACGTGTGCTTGAAAAATTAGCAGAATTCCATGCTGCCTCCGCGATGTTGTATGAAAAAAATAATAACACTTATCCAGAATTTTTGACCAAAGGCTTGTACAGCGAAGAAAATCGAGAATTTTTTGAAGGCATGGGTCAACAGTTCTTCGGCATTTTTTACAAACATTTAAGGACCTTTGAAAATAGCGAAGAATATGCAGAGAAAATTGTAAGTACAAACATACTTATGAGTATTTCTTTAATTTAATATGAGTGTATAGATCACCCTGAATATAATTCACAAATTTCTTGCAGATTAGCAATGAAAAAACTTTATATGATAAATGTCAGGCAGCAGACAAAGGTGCTGAAAGCAGTATTAATGTCTTAAATCATGGAGATTGTTGGACTAATAATATAATGTATCAATACGATGATGCTGGAAAGATTAAAAATGTGTACTTTGTAGACTTTCAAATGAGTCGATATGGTACTCCCGCTCAGGATCTATACTATTTCATTTTTTCGTCACCAACTTATGATATTAAATTAGAACATTTCGATGGCTTTATTAGGCACTATCATGAACATTTGGTGAAAAATTTGAAACTTTTGAACTATCCACGTGAAATTCTAACTTTAAAGCAATTGCATATTGATCTTTTGAAATATGGAATTTATGGTAAGTCACATAATATATTGCGGCTGAAGACTATTTGTGTACTGTAATGTGTATATAATTTTAGGAGTAACTACTTCCACCAATGTTTTGACCGCAATATTGCTGGATCCTACAGAGAACGCTAGCATTGAATCAATGCTAAATGATAGTGAAGAAGGTGTTAGTTTCATTGACTTGTTGTATTCTAATCCTCGATATCATAAACATGCTAGTGCTATATTTACTTGGTTAAATAGACGTGGTCAGTTAGAATTTGAGTAAGTTTAACTAATTGAACTAAAACTAATTTTGTTGACGTTGTTACCTTGTTACCTGCATGTATTTTTTTTATTATTTTATTTATTGAAATTATTTATGAATATGTACGTTATAAAATATTTAATAAAAATGTTTGAATTTGTAAATATACCAATATTGTTATGTATGTGTTATTTGTTGTTTTCCTTCTTCGATAAGTTAATTTTTTTTAAATAGTCAGTTATCTTTTGAGTATGATTTAATACACATTTCCTTATTTCTAATTATAATTATAATTTTATAATTGCGAAACACACGAATGAATAGCAATTTTAAAAATTTTTTCATACTGTATTTTTGATGCTATTAGCTGGCTGTTTGAAATAAATTTCTTAGTAGATATAATAAATTCAATTTAGTAAGGCAACCCAAATGCAGTTGTTTCTTTTTGATAAATAACTTGATTAATTAAGTAAATGATGTTCGAATTTTTTTCAACTGTTAAACGTGACAAACAGTCAATTGTAATATAATTATTAAAAATAATGAAGAAAAAAAATTTATTGCGGAATAAAAAAGTTATCATTTTCAAATTAAAAACTAATGGGTAGAAAATGTATAACTTTTGACCCTTTTTAATTATATTTCGATTACCTAATATATCTTGTTTACTTCAAAAAATGATCTTATCTGAAATTTAAGTTTTGTTTTTATATACCATATTACTATATGGAAAAATTATTTACATCGGCTGAATAGTACCATACCTACATACTAAAAAATTCTGGTAGAAAAAAAATAAAATTTTGCACTTTTTTGGAAATAAAACCTTTCATGTGTTCACAATTTCCTCAAACTGATTCAGAGAATTTCAAAATTATTGGAACTCTTACAAGTTAGGAGATTTTAAGTCTCATAGAAATCATGAAAACTGAAAGTAATGGCCCAAGGTAGTGCGGTGTACTATGTTGGTATAAACCAAAACCCTAAACCGAAAATCAAAATTTCAAATCATAAAATTTTAAAAATACAGGTTTTGAGTCTGTATAACGTCCTAAATTTTTTACAACCACAAATCAACTTTACTATTAAGTGTGTGCAATACTTGAACTAAACTAAGAAGATAATATTCCTAATCATTGCTAGATATAATAAGTATTATTATGTATAATAATTTAAGTAAACCCCAAGTAAATCTGTTTTTTTTCATACTCAAATACATATATATAGTTTCTCATAACTAAAACTAAAATTTAAATTAAAGTTGCGAACTAGACAGATCAAAGCAATTACTTTTGTTTGCTTGTATGAAAGTTTTTAAAAATTTTAACATTGCTTCTAAAATATATACCTATAAGTATATAGGGTATAATTAAAAGTTTATGTAATAAGAACATAATCAAATAGATATGACGTTGAAGCGTGTCAATTACGAATTTAAACGTTTTTTCAAATCATTCTGATATAAAATTTATGAAGCAAAAATCGTATCAAATATTTATTTAATATGTTATTTTTTATTTTTAAAATGTATATTAGCTTAATCAATACAATCGGCACAATTTGATTTCAAAAAACCTCTATGAATGAGCTAAGCTAAAATTCTGAATATTTACGTATTTAAATATGTGTAATAGCCAAGCTGTTATCTAGAAATGATACTACGTGATTATTAATGAGCGATTAGAATTATTATTACAATAAAATAACAATAGGAAAATGTTTCTATATATAAAAACAATAACATTCGTAAATTTTTTCTATCAAGTAATGCTGATATCGATTAGAATCTTGTACTCATAGATATAAACTTAGCAGATAAACTGAACGTAGAGCTTATCAGACTTAATAAGCGGAGAGTAATAATATATATATAAGCTTATTCGCACTATTATGAAATATTTTAACTATATTCTATTAAATTAAATTTCAGTTGGCTAAAGTTTATGCATGTGGCAGGTTCACATTAGAAGTTTATTCTGAAAAAAATACACAAAATTTGAATTAAATTTAATAAGTATTTAAATTTAAAATGGGTGCGCGTAAATCAAAATCTAGCTACGTTGTATCTAATCAAGATTTCACTTATGAAGGATCAACAGCGGCATCAACACCAGCGACACAGCCTGCACCAATAGTACAATCTGCCGTCGAAGAAAATCGAACACCAGTCACAGCAACTACAGTGGAAACACGGCATGCAGAGAATACAGAAGTGAAACTACCAGAGATCGATATGAGTGTAGTGCCCACTTGGTTGACCGAAGAATACTTCGTAGATGTACTCAAAGAAAATGTACCTAATTTCGATAAAATTACCGATTTCAAAGTGAAACCAGCATTGAGACCAGGTGAAAATTATGCCACCCTTATGCTGCGTGTAAATATTGAAGTAGCATTGACAGGTAAGAATTCTATAAGAATATGATAAAGTTATGAAATTTAATGAAGAATGTTTTGAAGAGAACATGATAATCTCTTTACTTATTACTTATTCGGTATAAACTTTCTTTTCTTTAGATAAAAACAGCAAAACTATTTCGTATATGTTGAAAGTGCCTCACGATACTGAACAAATGAGACAAATGGCAGCATTAATGAATTTGTTCATACCAGAAAACGAAATGTATTTCGATATTGTTCCCGAACTTGAAGAAATGTATAAAGCAGTGGGCTTGGAAATATCATTTGGTGCTAAATCTTATAAGTTCAAAAAACAACCAATTACCGACACTGTTTTGCTCGAAGATTTAGGTCCACTAGGCTACAAAAATCGTGATCGCTTGCTTGGTTTCGATGTGGAGCACACTCAATGGGTTCTCAAGAAATTAGCACAATTTCACGCGGTTTCTGCCACACGCGTAGCTACTAGAGGACCATTTTCCAAAATAATTATGAAAGGATTTTTCGATGTCGCAAAACCAATATATGATGCTATGCTGAAATCATTTACAGATCAATTTTCTTCTTCTATTAAGTATTATGAAAATGGAGAGTTTTATGCACCAATCATGGTAAGTGTATTCAAGAGGAGAGTTATTATAAAATAATATATATATGATACATAGATAAAATAAATAAAAAATTTTTCTTTCACTAAAAATATTTAATTTTAAATATTAGAAACGAATTCATTAGCACGTACTTACATTTATTACGAAATTGATTATTAAATTATTAAAATATAATTTTTACTATTATTTCTAGAAATCATTCTTTGACGTAATGGCAGAAAATTTCGACTGTTTACTCATAGCAGACCCAGATGAATTTAATGTTATTAACCATGGAGATTGCTGGTCTAATAATATTCTATTTCAATATGCAAATGATGGCAAAATATTAGACACAAAATTTGTTGATCTACAAATACCTCGATATGGTTCACCTGCTCAAGACTTGAATTACTTTTTAATAACTTCCACTGCCCTTGATGTAAAATTGAGTCAATTTGATCATTTTCTACGCTATTATTATGATAATCTTATCGAACATCTTAAATTATTAAAATATCCCAAAAACATGCCAACATTAAGTGAGCTACACGTACAAATGCTTAAATATGGCATTTGGGGAGTAAGTGCTGGAATGACAACATTACCTGCTGTCTTATTAGATCCAACGGAAAAAGCCAGCTTTGATAATTTTATCTCAGACGGTGCCGAAGGTGTAGAATTTAAAAACTTGCTTTTCTCCAATCCCAGATATTGTCAACATATTTCCAAATTGTTACCTTGGTTCTATAATCGTGGTTCATTGGAACCATTGTAAGTAAAATTTATTTTGTTTACCGATTATCTTAAATTCAACGACAGTTAAAATATTATACAAAAATCTAAAATTTTATTTTATTTTAGCACAAATAAACCACTCACTGCAATTCAAATATCAACGCCAGTAGAAATTTTACAAGTCACTGAGACCTCGGTTGAAGAATCCGCCGTAACGTCAGCGAATGACCAACAAGCAAAACCGAAGTACCCAGCATGGGTAACAGAAACGTATTTTATTGATATTTTAGAAAAGGAAATACCAAACTTCAAAAAGATAAGCAAATTTGAGATAAGCCCAGCAACAAGTTCGGGAGACAATTACTCATCTATTATGCTTAGAATTGACATCGAAACCGAACTAACAGGTAAATCTTAAAAAGGCAGAATTACTTTTCTTTATTTACTTATGTCATTAAAATCCAGATGGTACTATTCAACCTAAGTCATTTATGCTGAAAATACCTTTAGACACTGAAAAAGCTAGCGCTATGATGAAAGTTTTCAATACTTTCAAGAAAGAAATGGCTATGTACGATATTGTGCCACAGCTTGAAAATATTTATAAAGAAGCTGGACACGAAATAGTATTTGCACCCAAGAGTTACAAGTTCGTGAAGGATACAAATTGTGATCATTTACTTTTGGAAAATTTACGTACTCTTGGTTTTAAGAATGCGGACCGCATTGCTGGTTTAGATATGGAACATACCAAACGTGTGCTTGAAAAATTAGCAGAATTCCATGCTGCCTCCGCGATGTTGTATGAAAAAAATAATAACACTTATCCAGAATTTTTGACCAAAGGCTTGTACAGCGAAGAAAATCGAGAATTTTTTGAAGGCATGGGTCAACAGTTCTTCGGCATTTTTTACAAACATTTAAGGACCTTTGAAAATAGCGAAGAATATGCAGAGAAAATTGTAAGTACAAACATACTTATGAGTATTTCTTTAATTTAATATGAGTGTATAGATCACCCTGAATATAATTCACAAATTTCTTGCAGATTAGCAATGAAAAAACTTTATATGATAAATGTCAGGCAGCAGACAAAGGTGCTGAAAGCAGTATTAATGTCTTAAATCATGGAGATTGTTGGACTAATAATATAATGTATCAATACGATGATGCTGGAAAGATTAAAAATGTGTACTTTGTAGACTTTCAAATGAGTCGATATGGTACTCCCGCTCAGGATCTATACTATTTCATTTTTTCGTCACCAACTTATGATATTAAATTAGAACATTTCGATGGCTTTATTAGGCACTATCATGAACATTTGGTGAAAAATTTGAAACTTTTGAACTATCCACGTGAAATTCTAACTTTAAAGCAATTGCATATTGATCTTTTGAAATATGGAATTTATGGTAAGTCACATAATATATTGCGGCTGAAGACTATTTGTGTACTGTAATGTGTATATAATTTTAGGAGTAACTACTTCCACCAATGTTTTGACCGCAATATTGCTGGATCCTACAGAGAACGCTAGCATTGAATCAATGCTAAATGATAGTGAAGAAGGTGTTAGTTTCATTGACTTGTTATATTCTAATCCTCGATATCATAAACATGCTAGTGCTATATTTACTTGGTTAAATAGACGTGGTCAGTTAGAATTTGAGTAAGTTTAACTAATTGAACTAAAACTAATTTTGTTGACGTTGTTACCTTGTTACCTGCATGTATTTTTTTTATTATTTTATTTATTGAAATTATTTATGAATATGTACGTTATAAAATATTTAATAAAAATGTTTGAATTTGTAAATATATCAATATTATTATAAATGTCATATTTGTTGTTTTCGTCCTTCGATAAGTTAATTTTTTTAAACAGTCAATTATGAGTACGATTCAATACACATTTTCTTAGTTTTAATTGAACTCCATTTTTAATATCACAATACCCCAGCAAAACATGCTCCATTTTCCTAATCTAATCTTCTCTTAAAGAACTTTTGGCGTGTATTGCAGAAGTTATATGTTAAAGTAACTTGCACTATGGAAACAGCTAGCTAAGAAAAATATAAATATATTAACCGAAAATACATATTCAATTTAATAATTGATCAACAATTGTTTAATACTAAAAAGACGTCATTGCAGTTCATTATTAATACGGTTTCATAGGCTGAGGATATTTTTATTTAAGATTGTATCAAACTTTAAATTAACTCCAATTTGAAGGAAAGTTCGAAGTTTTATACTTTTTTGTTACATATGTTAGTGCCTCCAACTAAGAAATGGTTAATACAATATTAATAGACTAAATTATTTTGCTGTAAATCTTTCTTTCTTTGTTACACTCATAATATAGTATAAGGTAACTCAATCATTAGATAAATAAAATTTAATTTTAAATGTTGATAACCTTCATCGCTCATGTCAATATAATTATTTCTAATAGTTATAGCTGATAACTAAAGTATTCTTACAACGATAGAATTTCAGCTTTTTGTTCGCCATCATATTTTTTGTTATTCTTCATTGCGGTGATTCAGTAATAAAGATATTTGATCCTTTTCCATAAAAAAAATTTGGTATTTAAAATAGACGTCTTATTTTATTTTTTCACTTTTTGGTGCTATTAGTTAGCACAATGGCTTTTATTTATTTGAATGTAAATAATAGGAATTTTCACGTATTTAAATGAATTAAATACTTTAGTAAATTATGTATGCTTTTCGAAATTCACTGTATTCTGATTATTTAGTATTTGCAAGTTTCAGCACTTTTGTTATAATTTAACTATAAGCAGTTGAGTAGTCCTTGTAAGCAGTTGATTTAAAAACCTTATGATTAGCATGGAAAGTTTGTGGAACTGTCATTAAACTTGATAAAATTCAGTTACAAGAAGATTGTTATTTTTTTTATAATTTTAACGTAATAGTCTCTTCTTAAGTAATATCAATGAAACAATTATACTTTTAAGTTAACGAGTGCTGGATCACTTAACTACTTAGTCTTCTTACCACTTTCTGAATTAGATACGTTAATTAAATATATTTCTTTCCACCTATTTGTCATTTTCTATTTTCATTTTATTCACTAAATAAGTATCATTTATTGAACTTGTAGTACCGAAATTGAGCAAAGTGTTAAACAAAAAATTACTCCACCACATCCAAATGCTGATATCAACCTTTCTAGTGAAACAACGAACGCAGCTACTTCTAGATCTGCCAAAAAAGTCAATAGTGATGCTGAGTTCGAGGTGCATTTTATAGAAATTCTAAAACAAAATATTGACAATTTCGATAAAATTATAACATTCAAAACCGAGGCCGCTACTAAAGCTGGAGACAACTACGCATCGACAATATTACGAGTTATAATATTAATACAACTAACAGGTTGGTGTAATGACCGCATTTACAAAATTATTTGTATATAAGTTAATCTTATAATCACTTATATTTCCTATCAAAGCAGATTTGATATCTGACTATGCAATTTTAAGGAGTCGCATGCATGTATTATTTATATACTATGCTATATACTACTTATTAAATTTAAAAATTCGTATTGATATAAATAACAAGCAATATACTCGTATATTCCAAAATCTTTTAAGTGTATATATTTTTTTCAATAGATGGCACCAATCAAAATCTTTCATATATGCTTAAAATGCCTGTTCAAAGTGAACTTTTCGATGAGTCGGAATTTAATATTTTTACTAAAGAAATCATTATGTATGAAGAATATTTACCACATTTTGTACAATTTTATGAGAAAGCTGGACAGAAGCTTAATTTAGCACCAAAATACTATAAATTCAAAGAAGATATAGGCTGTGATTCTATTATATTAGAAGATCTACGTATTCGAGACTTCAAAATTGCAAATCGTATGGAAGGACTTGATATAGAACACACGGAAAGTGTACTGCGTAAATTAGCTCAATTCCATGCAGCTTCTGTGAAGCATGTAGAAGTACATGGACTGTACCCAACATCATTTCAAGAGAGCTTCTACAATGAACAAACACGTGAAATTCTTCAGGACATGTCTAACCAAACGAAACCCATCATATTGGAATTTGCAAGTGCATACAATAATAGTGAAGAATATATAGAGAAGCTGGTCAGTATTTGTAGATCACTTTTATCACACTTATACATAATTTAACTTAAGCACTTGATTCCAGTTCTATTTTTTAATTTCTATAAATAATAGTTTTTACCGCACAATCATTATTTTTTTGTGAACCAATACAAATATGAATATAGGTATTATGTAGAAATATACTTATATCATGTAGTATATGTGTTCATAAATTCATTTCCACACTTCCATCTAATATTTTAATAAGATATCTTCGATTTAGTTTTTTTATTCATCTTACAGAATAAACTACTTGATAACTATGTTGATTTAGCTATAGAATATAGTAAGGTTCATCTTGAAGAATTCAATGTTTTGAACCATGGTGATTGCTGGATAAATAACATTATGTTTCAATATGATGAAGAGAATCGCCTAATGGAAACTTATTTAATTGACTTTCAAATACCCAAATATGGTCCACCTGCTTATGATTTATATACGTTTATACTTTCTGCAACGCAATTAAATTTAAAAGTGGAGCAATTTGATTACTTTATTAGTTATTATTACTCACACTTGAGCGAAAACTTAAGACTATTGACATACAATGGTAAAATTCCTACTTTGAAAGAGCTGCACATTAGTTTACTAAAGTACGGGTTTATGGGTAAGTATATATCTACTACAGGATTGTGTAAGAATAGTTTAAAGTACTTAATATATTTTTGATTATTTTGCGATAGCTGTTGTAACTTTATTTGATATGACCTCTGTATGCTTAATGGATAAGCATGAACACACCGGATTTGACATCTTTATGGCTAATACTCCGGATGGAATCGAATTTCGCAGAAAGCTTTATGGAAATCCAAGATTTAAAGAAAATGCTGAATTGATTTTACATTTTCTTAATTATAGAGGCTTATTAGATATTTAGAGATTAGAAAACTAAAAAAGTGTCTGTTGTACATCACATGACAATAATATTATAATAAAGTTTAAAGCAAATGTTTCAATGTTTTGATATAGAATGATTAAAATATATAATTTCCTCCGAAGTACTACTCGTAAACAAAATCAAATACACTATACATATGTACCATATGTACTATACATATGTAATAAACACTCATTTAAATACAGGTATATAGTTGTATATAAATTTGAGTTAACTACTTTTCCGAATCTATTACGGATAAGTGCAAAAGTTTTTCAGAACGATATTTTTTTTAAGTGTTTAGTATCGTCAGTATAAAATAACGAAGATATGTTGATAAAAATCTTTACTCATCGCCAAACAAATCCTTCACTATCTTCTTTACATCCTGGATAAAAAAGTATCTATAATTTTTCCCAATAATATCGGTGAATTCAAGATACCCACAATCACTAAACTAAAAATCCCGAGTGTCATTCTCGACAACATGTTGACCTTTTCTGCACACGCTTCAGCTATGTGCGGTCAGTTGAAATGTGCACTCACAGGTTGATTTTGGGATACAGAAAAGAATGTAGGACATACGAAGCAATAGTACATCCTATGCGGGCTATGCGGCTCGAGTACGGACCCCATAACTCTGTAAAATGCAATGAACTAACATCCAATGTTGTGAAAACACGGTATTGCGGATTGCAACCGACTATCATCGTATGTCGCATGTTGACCATCTTCGAGCGGAATCGAAAACGGTTCTTGTAAAAGAGCATGATCAACTGCTGTCCAAGCAATACCTTATTGTGTCCCAAACAGCTGGACATTCTAATACCACCATGTTCAGTAGAGCCCTTCTTTCTAGATGCATTCGTCGATTAATTTCTCTTTACCACACAAATATCGACACTTATTACAATGGAACTAACAGCAGTGAGATCGAATACAAACGTAGACCTATAATGGTTCACACAGATTCAGTATCCTCTTCGAAATCTAGGTTGACTCTCAAAAAGGCTCTCAATAAGCCTCCGCCTAAAAATTCCCAGGAAGAACGATGCCTCCCCCGTGCAGCAAGAACTGTGTTAGCTCAATTGATTTAGTCCTCCGACAGACGACTATCAAATCATTATCGTATTCTTTATTTTTCAACATATTTTTAAGTAACTCCAATCGATTTTTTTTATTGAAATCATAATACATACTTATGTTGAAATTTTTTGAAATAAAGAAGAAGTATCTATCTATATATCAATTGAGATCAGAGTATAGCCATGTGCTAAACAGTTACTTATCACGCATGAACAAGTCTATTCCTAATGAGTGTCTAAACTGCAACTCTATTAATCACGACGTCGTCCACTTTATATCTTGCTCCCCCTTACATATAAACCTTCGTCCAATTGACCTTTGGATCTACCTTCTTAAAATGGAAAGGTTTTTTGCCTGGGCCCAGGTTAACCTCAATTGAAACTCTCAACCACCCTATATCTACTCTTCCTCCTTTATTTTCCCTCCCCAACCACCACCCATCCACATCCCAACCCACGTATGCGTCTTGTAAAAGAAAAGTTTCAATTTCATGTCAAAATATAATAAAACTCCAATAATTCTCATTAATAATTTTCATATCGCTATAAACTTTCAAAAGTAATAATAGTTGTTCTTTATATTTTATTAACCACCAATTACTTAACAATATAAACACAATTTTTTTTATAATTTTTTATGTAAATATTTACTACATATCATATCTTAATACTTGCAAATTCATTTATTCCAATACTCCCCGATTTAGTAGCCATGGCATTATTATTTCTATATTTTTTCGATAGCTCTCCTGTGAATACATTTTTCGTTTCAGCGCAATACCCTCTTCTGTGATGCTCATTAAGTTTTCTAAATTAGCATCCTTATTTGGTTCAAATAAGCAAGCTGCTAAAGTGCCTATAGATGTGATAAATGCTAAAACAAAAATTTGAATCTAGTTTATAATTGTTATTTTTTAAAATTATTAATATTAAACGCACCCCATATGCCGTATTTGTGAATATCTATATGTAACTCTCGAAGAGTTGGTATTTTCTTTGAATAATTCAGCAGTTTTAGGTTCTCAGAAAGATGATCGTGATAGTATCTGATAAAATAATCAAATTTTCGAATTTTAATGTCATAATTTGGTGATGACATAAGAAAATATAGTAAATCTTGTGCAGGAGTGCCATATTTCGGAATCTGATAATCTACAAAACACGTGTCATTTATGTTGCCATCTTCATCGTGCTGGAACATAATATTATTAGCCCAACTATCACCATGATTAAGAACATTGAAATCTTCCGGTACATAATTGGCTAAGGCAAAATATTTTGTTACCAAACTAGGTTGTAAATCTTGCTGCAAATCAAACATATTGTATATTAGCTATTTGAATTCGTTAATAAGAGTCTATTATAATCATACCACTTGTTTGATAAAAGCTTCATGACCATCATAACACTGAATATTTGCAAGAAAACTTCTGCACATACCACCTGTCATCTGTTCTATAAATTCACGATAATCGCTTTTAAATATGCCCGTCATTACTGGTGCAGGAAACATTCCTTTGGTGGCCACCCGCACTGCGGAGGCTGCATGAAATTGTGCAAGTTTCTTTAGAACATTTTCAGTATGCGCCAAATCTAAACCCAACAAGCGATTAACGTTTTTAAAGCCCTGTTGGCATAAGTCGTCCAAAAGAACATGATCGATTTTAATAGGCAAGCTGTACGCCCGAATACCAAACTTCACTTGTAAACCAATATCTGCATACAATTTTTCAAATTCTGGCAAAATATTTTTATACATTTCACTTTCTACAAAAAATTCCACATTGCCCACTTGTTGTTTAATCAACTCAGATTTACGTAGTGTTTTCATTATAAAAGATTTGTTGACAGTTTTATCATCTATTTTCCATTTTGAATACAATTTAATTAATTTTTAAGTTATGGTCTAAGATATATGCTAACTTGCCTTCCAATACAACCTCAATTGAAATACGAAGTATTATTGTGGCATAGTTTTCACCCGGCGGAACTGCCGAAGCAACTTTAAAACTACCTATATCTTTATAGCCTGGTATTGTGTTTTTTAATAAATCCACAAACAATTCTGGTTTAATCCACTCAGGTACAGTTGAAACTACGGCATCGTCTCTACTTTCTGTATTAACGTCAACGTTCTTTGAAGAAGACATTGCAATTTTAGTTTTGCCGATGACGGAACTATATTACCATTAGCACGGTCAAATTTATACTGATATGTGAATACACTTTTTGTACGCTCATTATACAAACTTCCACAGAAACACAATAGAGAGAGAAAGCACAAAACTGCGAATGAGAACAAGAGAACAAGGAGTGAAATTGAGTATATGAATGTGAGTGACTACGTGAGTAAGTCACATAAAAAAGTTTTCAAACAATTTGTTTAAGTTTCATAAAAGTATTCTATCATCACAGAAAGCTGATCTTATCAATATGCTAATATACGTAGTAATTACCAAATAAAACTAGATTATCATATGTAGTAATGGAATATCTAAATCAAAAATGATAATGATAATAATAATCAATTACAGTACTACTTTTGGTTTTTCAATTTCAACGAAGTGTGCTTTTTTATGCCTTTATACAGCCAGTGTGGAAAGAAAAGTAAGTTTATCAAGGCATTAAATACCCTCTACAGTATACATATTCTTATTAGAGCGCCAAGACGATGTATGTTTTAGGTTTGTTTTTTATCTAACAGTTTTCTTGATTATTATGTTACTGAATTTGATTTGGAATAAATAAAATTCGAAATCGTATAATTATGTTCTTTATTTAACAAACTCTTTTAAACTTAATAAGCAACAAAATAAGCTGACAAGGCATCAAACAAACCTACCAGCTAATTGAGATCTAATCTAATCTCAATCTACCAGCTAATTATGTGGATTAAGAGACAGTATTCTCCGTTCTCTAATAAAAAATATAGAGCACCAGAACAAAAAGGATTACTGAAATAATGTAACAGAATTAATGCAATCCAAATCACTTATTGGTACATATATCAATAGGAGATACCAGGATCGTATGGACTTATCAAAAGAAAAGTCTAGACCCATCACAAGAAATTTAACACGACACTGTAAATTAAAATACCATTTTACGAGACTGGGCATATATATGAATATAAACTGTTGATTCTGCTAAGAGAACTAAAAATCAGCCACACAAGTGCTGTTAGAATGCCCTGCGCGAATGCATATACAGAATAGACTGCAAGAAATGCATACCCTTACGGAAGAAGCAATAAAACTTAGTAAAGTAGGTTCTATACTACTTTTTATTGACGCAACAGGGTTAGGAGACTTACTCTAAGCCCAGAAGGCGGCACAGTAGACCCGACGGTCGCAGTTCCACGCCCCATTTAAGTAATAATCATAATAACTATAATCGATAACTTAATTATGAAATGAATCGTTTGTCAGTTAATTTAAGCATATATTCATATATTTAAGCATATATATAAATAAAATAATTTGGCTCTATCATACACGCAAATACAAAATATCCATTAATAACAGTTTTTATATATATAAATTTGGATTTATTCTATAAAGAATGAATTCTAAAATTTAATTAAAAAAATTATTACACAGTAATCGCTTTTTAATAATATTTTTTACGTAAATATTTTTTAGTACTAGTATATCGTTATAAAACTATAATAATTTCGCAAGAATGAGACTGATATTCTTAGTATGTAGGTCGACAGAATTTTATTTATCGAAAACATTTTCTTATGTATTAATAAAATTTCAATCAATCTTAAACTTGTAATAACGTTAATGCAAACAAAAAAGTTCATAATTGTTCATAACGCACAATATTCTTATCTTGTGATTTTCTAAGCCATATCGGTGAAACTCACTTAGTAGATATGTGTTATCAACAATGATGATTCATACTTTATTAAATATACAATATTTTAATATTGGTATTAATTCAAAGAATTGCGAAAGACAAGTAAGAAAAGTACAGGATGTAATACCACCAAATTTTACCTTTTTGTTAAACGTCCACATTATTGATATCATCATAAAATATTTCGTGGAAAAAAAACAATAGTGTGATGATTACTTCTAGTGATTATTGGGATAAAATCGACTTCAACTTATATTTATTCATCCTTTGGTGTACTAACTTAAATGCAGAGCAATATATGGTTCTTTCCAAATAATATCATTAAAGCAAACTATATACGCGTACATTTTATGCCTGTATGCTCAAATCCTCTTTGTACAATAGATTAGTACACCTAATTTGGAGCACTCATTACAAATATATTACAACAACAAATAATATTGCCAATGTAGAAATATTTTTAAAGGGAATTTTAACAGTATAGTGCTTTGATAGATTCCTGGTCACACTGAAATTAAAGGAGTCCGGAGAAAACTCGCAAGGACTAAATCAGCCATACAATTCTGTGAACAAGGGCCTTATTATGGAAGAAGATGGTCCACAACATAGTCTAATTAGTCTGATTAGCAACAGTAGTTGCCGTTGCGTAACTTCAGGTGAACGGTAGACTAAAGTCGCTTCATACTTATTCATAGAATATATAACTGGTCGTCATGACCTGCATTATCATCCTAACAAAAAAAATCTAAGTAAACAGAATATCGAATCTGTTTAGAAGCGGATGTCATTCTCTATGACTGTCTGATGTAAAAGTAGATACAGATTCGAGAATTAAATAACTAATTATTTTTAATTTATAAGCAATCGACGGTGATATATTCTTCGAAGAATGAATACATTCCGAAGTACTTATCTTCTAGTAATAAATTGTTACATCATTGCTAAAACGAACAATAATTTAGCAATTTCTTTTTATTGCAAAATTAATTTTCTTCACTTATTAATGATGATATCAAAGAAAGTTAAACAAATTACAAATCCATTTCAGTTGCGTTAACTATACTGACATGCTTCAATTTATTGAAGTTTAAATCATTACTTCATCACCATTTTTCAAAAATAACTAACGAGACTAGCTACGAAAGTTAAATCATTTTTGCACCACTTTATAGTAGCCACAAATTTATTTAGAGATATAGGGTTATGCACTATATTTTATTTTCAAATCAAGAAAATATCACATGAATATTACAAAATTAAAAATATCAATAATATATTTTATTGTGTTATATTGTTCTCTATACTAGAGTTAATCCTAAATTGATTCTTTCTTTCTAGAATTAAAATTAACAGTATTACGGATCACTTACAAAGTTGTGAATCACTGCAATAGATTAAAATCAAACAGAAGACATCTAGCTCTTCCCCTATTGACAATTTTAAAACTACCGCAGTATACCCTGGCTGATCCAGATAAAAGGCAAACAGTAGAAGAGATCGTCTTATCTACTTCCGTACAGATAAGATATTCTATATCCTTAAAGAAATCTATTTTTTTAGATAGTATGCATACCATTTACCCGTTATAATCTACAAGCAGCAGGAGCCTTAGCCGGGATTTCTCGTCATACTTGTAATACTGAAGTATATTCTGCCATTTTTTTCGGTACTTATTTAATTTTTCATAAAGAACTTAACCAAACTGATTCCATTATAAGAGCTTCTGTCTATATAATCGTATGATTTATTCTCATCAATTTGTAATTTAAAAATGACCTAGATAGCTAAAATATTTAGAAGTCATCAATATTTATAAAAGAATACGAAATTTTGACGTTGGCTATTGAGTTTGCTGTGACTATTGACAATATAAATTTTAATGTCATAGTCTCATAGTATACATAAATGTAGTGAAGCGTTGTGTAAAGTAATATCTTCGCTTTTCCTAGTCCTTTCATGTGTAGTAAATGTCTAACTTATTGGTTTACTCTATTCATGACATGACTTATTTCAGTTTTATTTAATGTATTAATTAAATTTATTTTATATTTATTTTTATATTTGATTATATTAATTATTTTATTTATATATTTATGTTATATTAATAAATCAAATTGTCATAAAATATTAATTATTCAAACTGATTTCGGTTTATATATAAAGACATTCTCTTTTAATAAGTCCGCTACTGTACACTCCACCACATGAGTGTGCAATGCTTAGATATTTAGAAGCCGACAGCTGATATGGAAGACTCTCGCAACAGCTCAGTATCGCCAAAATCGTCATTATAGTGAGCAAAATTTGTTGTGTGTTTATACAACAAGAACAAAAAAAAATTTCCCTAAATATTTAGTTAACAAATTTCGTAAACAACAGTTGACTTCTCTTAGTCATTATTCGGTTGTTGATCGAAATTGAGTGTTTCAAAGGCTACACTAGAAATGTCGGCAAAAGAAGAAAATAAGCCAAACGGCGACACTTCAGTAAACTCTAAAGTTCCAGCTTGGGTTAAAGCTGAACTTTTTGAAGACTTTCTGAAGCAAACCATTCCTGATTTTAAAGGAATAAAAAATTTCAAAGCCTATCCAGCTTTAGCTGCTGGTGAAAATTATGCAACTGTGGTGCTAAGAATTGAAATAGAAATGGAGTTGGCAGGTATTTCCATGAAATATATTTACTTAATTAAACATCAAGATATAGGGATATGTATACATTTTAGATGAGAAAACTAAAACTGCTTCATATATAATGAAAGTACGTCATGCCAATCTATTGTTCAAAGATGCGCCTGTACAGGAACACAATATATTTGATATAGAAGCTGATATGTATTTAAATATTGTGCCGCAATTTGAAAGAATGTACAACGAGGCAGGAGTACAAATCAAATTTGGTGCCCAGTGTTATAAGCTCAATACTAAAGAAGACTATGTACTTCTGGAAGATCTGAGGCCGCGCGACTTTAAGAATGCAAATCGTTTAGAAGGTCTGGACTTAGAACATACCAAAGCCACTCTCAAAAAGTTGGCACAATGGCATGCTGCTTCAGCTGTGTATGTGGAGACGATAGGAAAATATGATGACAAATATCTTGTAGGACATTTTAGGCCAGACTTTAAAGGTATGATGAAACAAGTTACTGATGGTATGGCGAAATCATTTTTAACATGTATGAAAACATATGCTGGTCACGAGGAGTATGAAGATAGTGTGGTAAGTGGTAAGGTAAAATTTGAAATTTAGACTTCAGAACTAAGTGATGTAAATTTTCTAGTTAAAAGTCGCACCTAAGATGGTAGATGAACTTTTCAAGTTTAGCAAAATTGATGCAAGTGAGTTTAATGTACTCAATCATGGAGATTGCTGGTCAAATAATATTATGTTTCAATGGGATGCTTTTGGTAAAATCAAAGAAACATATTTGGTAGATTATCAAATACCAAAATATGGCACACCAGCACAAGATTTACTTTACTTTCTGTTATCGTCAACGAAATTAGAATTGAAATTAAGTCAATTTGAATATTTTATAAAATACTATTACGATAATTTGATTGAAAATTTGAAATTACTTAAATATAACAAACCCTTGCCACAACTCAAGGAAATACATGCAATATTGTATAAATATGGACTATGGGGTACGTAAATCACATATAACTTGATTATTTATTAACAATATAAATTAAATTTCAGGTTACACCACAGCGACTGGTGTTATGGCAGCAGTATTGCTGGATCCTAACGACAATGCGGATCTGGAAATGTTTGTCAGTGAGTCAAATACGGCTGCAGACTTCAAAATGTTAATGTTTTCAAATGGTCGCTATCGCAAGCATATAGAAGCTATTTTACCATGGTTAAAGAACCGAGGTGCTTTAGAGTATTGATTTGCATCTACAATAACTGAAATGACTACTGAAGTATTTTGTATATTAAGAATTAGTTCCACAATACAAATGTTTTTCAATAAAATTGTTTAAAGTTCGTCAATTTTTTGATAAAATTTGATTTAATTTTTATCAGTGTCGCAACGTGTAAAATATACTTTTGATAAGAAATAAAAATAGCTGAAAATACATATAAGTCATAATTGTCTAATAAAAGCATTTCCAATAATTAAATTAATTATGTAAAACAAAAAGCTATGAATTGTACAAGTACAAAATTTATAAACTTCTATATAAATCTAATTAGGCCTACTGTTTCATTATATCGTCATAAAAAACTCAAAGGGCTTGCAACTATAGGTATACTTTAAAATGTATTTTAAAGGGAGGTCGGTCCTGCATTACGAATTTTAGACAGCAAAAAAACTTTGACTCAATGTCGTCAAATGCAAAGATAGCTGAATGACATGAAGTGCAGAAAATGGTTCAGTTTATTTCCTCATGCTTTACTGATAATAGATATACCTATTTTTCACTTATACTATTATATTTAATGAATGTATTACATATCCATATATATATATATATATATCTTTATATATATGTATATGCATATTTAATGAGTTTAACAATTACAATTAATAACGTAATTAAATTGTTTGTAAAATGTACAGAAGAGTTAAAAAAAAGCTGTTAGAGAGAAATAGTTTAGTCGCATTTCAACTCTCAAATACAATAGTTCATCAGCGTGAGTTTGTAAAAGATATAATTGCAACATGGAAAAAATAACAAATAAATGTGCAAATAAACCAAAATGGTTGTGTAAAGAATTGTTTATGGATATTTTGAAACGAAAATTTAGTTGTGATGAAATTCAAAATCTAAAAGTGTCTCCAGCATTATCACCAGGTGAAAACTATGCAGCTGTGATGCTACGCGTGGAAATTGAAATGAGTGGGTTAAAGTAATACATATACTATATACATGTTCATATAACTACTTATCTCAGTAAACTATTTTAATATTTTCATACAATTTTGAAATTCAAAGATCTCACAAACACAAGCAAATACGTGACTTTCATGTTGAAAGTGCCACATGATAAAGAAATGCTGAATACACTAGTAAAGGAACATAAACTTTTCGTTGTAGAAAATGTAGTATATTTCGATCTCTTACCACAATTTGAAGAATTATATCGGAAGTGTGGTGTTACTGTGAAATTTGGACCACAAGCTTATAAACTTGAAACAAATGAAAACTATGTCTTACTTGAAGATTTGTGTCAATATGGCTTTAAAAATGTCAAACGTCAAGATGGTCTTGATATGCAGCATACCAAATCTGTACTTAGTAAATTGGCTCAATTTCATGCTGCCTCGGCTGTGTACGTGGAAACTAAGGGATTATTTTCACCCATGTTTACAGTTGGAGTTTTTACAGAAACCGTACGTGCTGAGGCTAAGACATTACACAATGGTTTTGTCAATTCATTTTTGAAAATTTTGAAACAATATTTGGGAAATGAATACTACTGGGCAGACTTGGTTGGGATTCATATATGTATTTAAATAATATATAAAAATAATAATAATCTGCGTTTCAGGAAAAATTTGTACCTCAACAATTTGATCTACATTACCAAATAACAAAAATTGACTCAAATGATTTTAATGTTTTGAATCATGGAGATTGCTGGATTAATAATTTTATGTTCCAATATAATGCCGAAAAAAGTATACAAGAAACCTATTTTGTAGATTTTCAAATACCGAAATATGGTTCCCCAGCACAGGATTTATTGACGTTAATACTATCTTCTGTCAACTACAGCTTAAAAATTCAGCATTTTGATTATTTTATAAAATATTATCATGAAAACTTGGTTCAGAACTTAAACTTATTAGGTTATTCAAAAACAATCCCAACTTTAAGGGACATACATATTGCGCTTTTTAAATATGGTTTATGGGGTAAGTAATTCTACTAAAATTAAACTAAATTTTTGACGACATTATAATTTTCATATGACAGTTATTTACATTACATAGTTTAAATAGTGTGATTTTTCCTTCGACCATGATAGCATATATGTGTAGAGTTTAATTATCCTTTAACCATAGTTCAAATTAGACCATGATAAAATATAATGTTGTAATAAAAACATGGAACAAAAACCTCATAATAAAAAAATTTTAACTACATTGGTTTCTGTAAATACTGTTCTCTATTATTTTGTAGTTATTTATGATCACCAAATTGTCCGCATATCACAGACACAATTTTTAATGTTTCTGTATTGTCACATCCTTTACGCGCCAGCTTCGGATGTCATTACTAATGGTATTATGTTTAGATTTCCAAAAATCTAAACTATATGGACAAGTCTATCTGGTCCACTCTTTATCTCTTTTATCCGTAGTACTTGTCCCACAGCATTGTCCTCTGGTCTTTTTATTACTTGGTGTTACCAACTAAATTAGATTTCTTGCAACTTAGTTACGATTGGGGTGAAAGAAGTTGGTTTTTAATTGAAATTCGCCATAATTGACACTTTGTTGATCCAACGCAGCATACGCATTTCTATCACTCTAGGTTACTAATCTTTTTTCGCGATGAGACTTATATCATCGCTGATCTGATCACTTTTTTTTAAACTTTTGCATTTTAACGGCTATATCTTATCTTGTCGTACAAAATATCAGCCTTTCAGATTTGTCATTTATAATTACTCTGTTTTGAACTTTTCTATTCGAATGTACCATCTTAGCTAACAGCACAGGTATTTGAAACTCTCCACTACTTCGCGGGTACAATTTTCATTGTCCATTTGTTAGTGTTTCTGGACATCGTTATATTAACTAAAACGTTACTTAGTTGCTTTTGTTTAATTTCCACCCAATCGTACGCCATTAAATCCAAAGGTGTCTTTTAGCTGATACAGCTTTTCATTGTATGGCCACAGCGTGCGCAAGTAGAAAACATCGACAGTTTCTACTGAACATTTTTGTTCTACCACTAGATTTCTCTATGGATTTTAAGTGCGTTTATTGAAAACCCAAATTCGGTTTTGACTTACACAACCGACACATTGTCCCAGTCTATTGACCAAATAAAGTTAAGGAAAACACCATCACACAACCATTTTAAGTATCGCCGGAAACAACTTTTGAGAAAAGTTTACAACTGTACTCTTTACATTAAGGCCATTTTATCATATATTGTTCAATATTTCGAACGTATGCCAGAAATAGGCTAATATCAAATACTCTAATGAGAACTTTCATTACTGATTACATTTGGGATAACCATCATATTTTCATCTAAAATATGACTAATTCAAATACATAAGTTATTTAATCTGTAAAAGTTTATATTTCTAAATTATTGAAATAGATTTTAAAATCTCTTCATTTTTTTATTTTTGAAAATAGAGTGACTTTTCTTTGTTAAATTTGATTTAAATTAAAAGAAAAATCATATTATATGCAGTGTATTGTACTCATTAAATAAACTTCATTTTGCAGGTTTCAGCACAGTTACTGGTGTCATGGCTTCTGTCTTGGTGGAACCTTGCGAAAATGCTACATATGAGAATTTTCATAGCGATACGGCAGAAGGGCGTGACTTTAGAAATAAATTATTTTCAAATGTAAGATATCGAGAACATGTTAAAATATTATTACCGTGGCTTTACAATCGTGGAGTTATATCATCGTAAAATAATATTTTTTATATAGTATATTATATAGTATAGTAGCAGTGCGAATACATTAAATTGTTTCTAATATTTTTAAAATAAAACAAACAAAATAAAATATAATGTACTAATAATATGTACGAGTACTTCCCAGATAATTGAAATATAGTAATGTTATATTTTATAATAAACTTAATTTAAAAAAAAAGCTAAATAAAGTTGTATAGTTATATATTATATAAAGTTGTATAATGCTTATTTAATCGTTATCCAGATGCCATCTTAAATAATAAAGATCCGCTGGTTGAACGTGTGCAGTGTTTGGCCTCCTGACTGAATCATACATAATATCCAGATAAATTAATAAAATTCGAAATCGAGAAAGCCAGAAACGTTTTCTTTGAATAAAATCCTGATTAGCGTAGAAAATAATATAAAACTAGTAATATGTGATTTTATGTATGGTTCACACATAAGCTTTAGAAATATGATGGTACCGTCATTTTCTAACGAATTTTCGTAGTGACCTCGTAATAATTGAAGAAGAGATTTTGCCAATAAACTGTAAATTGCTGACCAAGAAGTAAGATATCATATTCAGTAAGATCAGCTAGATATCGACTGGAGAAGCTTATTAATACGATCAAGATAGGAAAGCGTATTAAAAAAAGTATAATCTTTTGAAATATGATGGTACCGTCATTTTCCAACAATTTTCGTAGTATAATTCCTGACAAATTTGTAAGATATCATATTTACTAAGATCGGCTAGATATCGACTGGAGAACTTATTCATACGACCAAGATAGGAAAGTGTAATAAAAAAAGTGTAAGCTTTTGATAAATGATGGTACCGTCATTTTGTAACAAATTTTCGTAGTGACTTTGTAATAATTAAAGAAGAGATTGTGCCGATAAGCCCTAAATTGCTGACCAACAAGTAAAATACCATATTTACTAAGACCTAATATACTAATGACCAATATAGGAAAGCGTAATCGAATGTAAAGAAATTGATTTCATTGCTAATTTTGTATTATCTGTAATCGCCTTTTGTCACATAAAATTTATATGGAAATTGGAAACAAATAAATTTATTATATATAACCGTCAACTTCCAGTAGTGGATAGACAGTTGATGAAGATCAAATGCATTTATTTATATTATAAGTGCAAAGTTGTTACAGTATTATTTTTTCGCTTAAATTTATTTTTAGCACAAATATTAATTTCTATTCCTACATATAAAACAGAAAAGTAGGGGTCTCTGTGATCAAAACATATCAACGATTTTTGAACTTAATTAGAATATAATTTTTGCAATTATATTAATTTTTGTTTTGTTTGAAAGTTTCTTTGACAGAGTTACTACTGACGCTACATTGTAACGATAAGATAAAAACAAAATTATTTGAAAAAGCCAAATTTGGTAATCTTTATGGATTGGACAGCCTAACATGTTATTTCTAATTGATTCTCTCATTCTCATTCTCTGTTTCTCTCAAACGCAAATATTTTTTAAAAGCTTTCTGTCAAACTATGTATATCAACAAAATTAATAACCTGTTGCTCTACTCTTTACCCAGTACATTGTCGTTCTTTTAGGTTTTTATTTGTTTAAATTATGTATTTTGTTGTTGTTTAAGTTTTTGGTAAACATATATAAAACGCACCGAAAATCGTTCACTATGCCGAAGTGATTAACTCAGTTGCTGAAGAGTATCTCGAAATTATTTACAATAATTCTCTAAAATTTGTCTATAGAAGCTTTTTCTCTACTATAAATTCAGTTTACTTTCGTCATTCCAGCAAAATAGTTTCAGTTTTTAAATTGCGCTGTTTGTTTTTCGAACTTGTAAAAAATGTCTGCTGAAAATGGAACTGCACCAACTGGTCCACAAATACCAGAATGGATTAAGAAAGAATTATTCGAACAGCTTCTTAAGGACAATTTAGAAGGTTTCAAAGCAATTAAAAGCTTCAAAGCACTACCAGCACTTTCGGCAGGAGAAAATTATGCGACACTAATGTTGCGTGTGGAAATAGAAGCCGAACTAATAGGTGAGTGCATACTTGTGACAACAACATATCACAACATACCTATATTCTAACTAAATTAACTAATCTTAGATGGCAAAACTAAGTCAGTCTCATATATGATGAAGCTACCCCATGAGAGTGAGGCATTTAAAGAAATGATGAAACATTTTAATTTATTCGAATCGGAATACAAAGCTTATACTGAAGCAGTACCTGATATGGAGCGTTTGTATAAGAATGCTGGCATTGATATTAAATTTGGAGCAAAGGTCTATAAGTTAAATACTGACAAGAATTATATTTTATTAGAGGATTTACGTCCTGCTGGTTTTAAAAATGCCAACCGCTTAGAGGGACTCAATATGGAGCACACCAAATGTGTGCTTAAGAAAATGGCTCAGTGGCATGCAGCGTCTGCGGTTAAAGTGGAAACAGAAGGCAAATATGCCGATATATTTCAAATGGGCCCATTTACTGAAAACAATCGTGCACTAATGAAAAGTATGAATGATTCATTGTACGGCATGTTTGTGAAGTGTTTAAAGAATTACGAAGGACATGAGTTGTATTTGGAGAGCATAGTAAGTGATTTATATAAGTTGAATCAAAGTGAAGCGAATCAGAGTGTATTTACAAAACTGCAATAAATTAGATAAGATTCGAATCAGATTTTGATAATCCTAGTCCTAGATAATCCTAGATACTAGCCTAGTCCAAAAATGGTAGTAAATTCGTCACCATTACTTCATGTAGTCATCGAATATCAAACTTTTTTATCACACCAGAATATTGCGATGCCATTTTGTGATATAATTTTGTAATCCAATCTATATTGTATATTATACAATTGAGGTTTTTCTTTTTAAGATTTTCCTCGTTTTTCATTTTTAAATTCTCATGTTCATATGGATATATGAACATTTCCAATTTCATTAATCTTTTAAAGTTTGTTTGATACACATAAATCCAAGGAGGGCAATTTAGAGATGTAAGAATTATCAATAAAGTTAATATATTCGTGGAAAGCATATAATACATGTAAAGTAGAAAAAAGCCCATTGTACTATTATAAACTTAATGTACTGCCTTATATTAATTTAATAATGCTAATGCTTTTTATTATTACTGTTTAGCTTTAATAATATCATACAAATCAATTAATATTAAATTCTTTTTAAGGAAAAATTGGTGCCAAATTTAATTGACATATCGTTAGAAATGAGTAAACCAAAACCCAATGAATTCAATGTGCTAAATCATGGCGATTGCTGGACGAATAATATAATGTTTCAATACGATGCGTTCGGTAAAATAAAAGAAACTTATTTCGTCGACTTACAAATGCCTAAATATGGAACGCCAGCACAAGATTTATTATACTTTTTATTATCATCTACCTGTTTTGATATTAAATTAAAACAATTCGAGTACCTGATCAAATATTACCATGACAATTTAATAGAAAATTTAACACAACTTAAATATCCGAAAAAACTACCCACACTAAGAGAAATTCATATAGCTCTCTATAAGTATGGAATTTGGGGTAAGTGATATTAAATGATCTATAAATAGAACATAGCATTTGCTGCTTTCTGCACACATACATTCTTATGAATATTCCCCTATATATTTTTTTAATTTTATGTAAAGGTTTCATGACAGTTGCTGGTGTTATGGCAGCAGTACTTCTGGATCCTACAGATAGCGCAAGTTTTGATAACTTCTTAGCAGACACTGATGATGGTATGAAGTTCAAAATGTTAATGTACACCAATAGCAGATATCGTAAACATTGTGAAGCTATACTTCCTTGGCTATATAAACGTGGTGCTTTAGAATATTAAATCGATAATTTAAATTAAAAATATTAATATTATTTATGTGAGAATATATGTTTAATATTTATAAATGTATATAAATATGTGTAATTAATGTAAATAAAACATAATATTAGTAAATATATGACTTAATTGTTTTTATCATATTTTATTTTATTTCATATGTTAGCTATTAATATAAAATATAGTAAAATGATTACGTATTGAAACCCCTCGAATATATTGTTTTGCAAGTAATCGTGATTATTTACGTTATCACAATTACTGATACAAAACAAAGCATAGATACATATATATATTTATAAGTGCAATGAATACAACTTTTTTATATACTTAAATATCTTATCTGAAATTACTGCAAAAGAACCATAATAGAAATTCAAATATTAATTATTTGAAGTCTGATATCATACTATTAAAGATATATTCATAACTCCTATTCAAATTAATGTAAATGGAAAATATTAACATAAGAATAAGAATACCATCAAACTTAGCAATCTTACTATATTTTGAGATATTAAATCGGGATCTACATATATAGGTCAGCACTCAGCACTCAACTACGGCACTCAGTTATTTTTATTGGATGTGGTGTTTTATTTGTTATTATTTTTTTTTTGTGGATGAACTACATCTCGATACATCTATACTATTTAGATCAAAAAGCTAAAATATGTAATTTATGACTTTAAGCTCTTGTAGAACATTATGCAAATGACACACTCTCTTTTACTACTAAATATAAATGCTTTTAACTATTTCATTTTTTTTAGACAACTTCAATCATTTTTTCTCAAATTGGTGAGCATTAATTATTAACAATATTTATTTTACACATTCGCAGTTTTTCTCTTTAAAATTTTATAAATATACCAGAAAATAACATGTACTTTACTGGCACGAAAATTAACCTTTAATAAATAAAAAACTGGAAATTTTATATAATGTATATAATTATATATTTGATATTGTCAATTATTAGTAAATTATTTTAGCATAGCAAGGGGAAGTACGTTATAATAAAAATTATAGAGTATGTAATTACTACAAATTACATCATTTTTGAAATCATGCACAGTCGGTTGAGTTATTATTCCATTCACACATTTGAATCATATATAAAAATATATATAGGTGGTTCTTCATCATTATGACAATTTCAATTTATTTGTCCGTGAAACTGTCTGCTGTGTGCTGTATGACTATCTGTTGATCTTTTCTCGCGCTAGTAATTTACTCACGATTGTTTTATAATCTAATGAAACTTAATGCAGACTCCCAGTCAATGTTAACAAAATATGAAAGGAAAAATTTACCTAGACAATGTACTGCTTATAAAAACAACTTCTGAAACTCTTGTAATATATGTATAATTCTAATGGAATTAACATCAAAAACGAAATTTGGGGATAAATCCAATATCGCTCAATAATATAAATGAAAATGTATAAGAAATTAGTGATTTATAATAAATCTATATGTGTGAAAGTTATTGATGCTTCGATAAATAAATAAAATAAAATTAATTTCTCGTTTTTAAGAAGTTAGTATTGAAGCTATTGAAGTTAGTATTCACTATTAGATTTAGCACTATTAGAATTTATGTTTAAATATTTCTTTATTTTAAATCTTAAAATGCCTTTTTGCATTTTTAGTTATAATTAAAAATTTGATTAAATTTATAATCGTTAAAAATTTTCAGATAGTGCAAACTCGATAGCAAAATGAATTAATTTTAACATATGTGAATCTACAGGAAAGAGCACTTATAAAAACATAAATTGATAATAAAAAGAAATTAATACACTCATTCAAGATATACAGTATATGTTTTTACATTATGAAAGAATATAATGAAAAATGGACTGTTAGTCAAATTAAGAAAAAGTAAATAATTTAATAAAAATTAAATATTGATTACTTATAGCAAAAATTTAAAAAAAGTATTTTATAAAATAATATCTATAACTAAAAATAAATAAAACATTGTATATACCATATTATGCATACTTTTCTAAAAAATTTCGATTGGTGACCAGGTTAGTGTCTCCTAGTATATTACCAGATCAAACTCTTTCTTTATCGCTCAAACAACCAAAAGTCTTCCGATCTCGTAGGAGAATATTTCCAAATATTAGAAGAAATCCCTTGGCAAACAGATATGTGTAGTTGTCTAATTTGTATTAATTATTGAAATTAGATTAAATGATTTGTTCTTTTTTTATATAGTATTATTATTGTTTATTATTTTTTTTATTTATTTTTATATTAATAAATATATAAATATATACAAATTAATATAAATAAATAAATATATATATATATAACTATATAAACAAATAAAATAAAGGTATATATAAATTGGAAATTTTGTCTTCCCTAACATAGTTTCTTTGAAAGTTCAATTTATTTTCGTATGTTCATGACAGAACCTTGCCGTTTTTGAAGAATTCTTTTATTTTGTTATGCAATTTTAAGAAACACAAATATTCAATACAGAATGATTTTTTATACAAACTTTTAATATCAAAATATATGTTTTCATTTCATTCCACTGCGCCAAATATTAAGATACGTCACTGTTCAAATGGAAAGCAACAACAATTAGTAGTTATAACTATAACTAGGGTACGTACCTACTTAAGAAAATGTCTGACATGAAAAATGATAGGGAATTCTAGAATATCTCCATAAGACACAAAGTTAATAATCGGAAAATATGTCTAACTAAACAGACCAAACCATTTTTCAGATTCTCATAAATTTTACTATTTATAAAAAAATATATAATATATTTATATAATTATAAAATGTTATAATTGTATAATGTTATATTATTATAAATATATTATGTTATAAAAAAAGTTTATATGTTACTTTTTTCAATATTTTTCTTGTATCTGCAAAATTATTTCGCACAACATATAATAGATCTTATAAAAACCTATAAGACACCTTTTTTTATTTATTTATAACCTGAGTACTTTAATTATAGAAATGTACAAATATATTTAATAAAAAAGAGTTTTAGTTCTCTTTACTCAAATATAAGTAATGCTCTCTAATTTTGAGTTGTAGACTAAACTGTCAAGTAATGAGAACAATTTTAAATGGTCTATTGTGTCAAATTAGTTTAGATATTCCCGTACATGCGTGACTTTACGAATATGTATATGACGAAAATACTGGGGAAGTACATATCAACAATTTGGCAAAAAGCTTTCAAATCTATTTGTTTACTTTTTATGTTTATTTTAGTGAAAAAACAACACATTTTTGTACATGAAAAAATATTATCAGTCTTGTGCTATTAGTAAAAGTTGATAGAGGTATTTTTTCTCCTTAAACGAAGATATTAAATAATTTTTATTTTCTATATTGTATTTAAAATTAAAACATAGTGAAAAGTTTGCAATGGTTGAAACAGTACCAGTATCTTCAAAAACTCCACTGAAATTGCCTAATTGGCTGCAGGCAAGTCTTTTCGAAGATATTCTTAAAAAAAATGTACCGAATTACAAAAGCATCAAAAACTTTCAAGTTCAAGAAGCTTTAAAAGCAGGCGAAAATTTTGCCACACAAATGCTGCAGATTGAAATAGAAGTAACTTTACTAGGTAATATTAAATTTGAGTTTAAATTTATATTTTAAATTCTTATAAAAAAAATGCATTCATTGCTGACATTCATTCCTTGCAGATGATAAAACAAAGACTGTATCCTTTATGTTAAAGCTTCCACATGACAGCATTGTCTTCAAGCATATGTTAAAACTACATAATGTCTTTTATATCGAGTCCAGTATGTATACAGAAATTATACCGGAATTGGAAGCACTATATCGTGATGCAGGACTTGAAGTTAAATTTGGTCCTGAATTTTATAAATTGAAATCTACAGAAAACTACATACTATTGGAGGACTTACGTCCTCGTGGTTTTAAAAATGCTAATCGCTTAGAGGGATTTGACACAGCCCATACCTCTTGTACGCTGAAGAAATTAGCTCAGTATCATGCCGCATCGGCAACACGTGTAGCAGTCAAAGGACCTTATCCAGATCTATATAATATTGGCTTTTATACTGAAGCGAATCATTTCTTTATAGACCAAATGAATGATAGCATAGCAAAACATTTTAGAGAGTCTATGATAACCTATCAAGGTTATGAAACGTATAAGGAAAGTGTGGTAAGTAGATTTAAATGATTAAAAAGAGTAATTTCATAAATAAATTAAAATGATTTAGACTTTTAAGAATGCATTTATTCTGTTTATAGATTAATATTAAATCGTTAGTTTATGAACATTTTATTTCACTTCTAATTTTAAAATATGCCATACCCCATATGTTCTTTGGTGGTATATATTTTCACAATATTTTCAACGAGTATTATGCTTTCATTTCTCATAAAAAATAATATCATTATTTCTCTTACATGCTTCTTCAAGGAACAATTGCAATCCAAACTAACAGATGATCTCTATAAAATTACTAAAGTTGATGCAAGTGAATTTAATGTGTTAAATCATGGTGATTTCTGGTGCAATAATATTATGTTTCAATATGATGCCTTTGGTAAAATCAAGGAAACCTATTTTGTAGATTTCCAATTACCAAAATATGGCTCTCCCTCACAGGATTTATTCTACATATTAATATCGTCAACCCAGTTTGACATTAAACTGAAACAGTTTGATTACTTTATTAAATACTATCACGAACATTTAATAGAACATCTAAAACTATTGAACTATCCAAAGCAACTGCCCACTTTGAGAGATTTACAGCTACAGCTCTGCAAATATGGACTATGGGGTTATCTCTATAATACATGTAATATATTATAAAGAAAAACTAATAAATATTTCTAGGTTACCTTACCGCAACTGGTGTTATGGGCACAGTACTAATGGAATCTACTGAAGATTCAGAAGCCAAAAAAATACTTGGTGATGCCGCTGCTGGAGAGAGATTTAAGAGGCTTGCGCTTACAAATGACAGATATCGGAAACATATTGAACCTTTAATGCAATGGCTACTAAATCGCGGTGCACTGGAGTGATAATTATCAATTGTTTACGTCAACTATTTTTTATTATTAACTTAAACTTGTGATTTCTGCAAAAATTTTTATAATAATTTTGATCAGCTTGATAATCAAACTTTTATATACGTTTTGTTAAATATAGTTTTCTATAATAAAACAATATAAAGTCAGATAATACTTACAAGCACAGTTAAGGAATTTGATATGAATTTAAAAAAGTTTATAGCTTTACTTCCAATGAAATTATTAAAATTCTTAGAAAAATGCACTGTTTTTATTTTACTTTCGTATATGAAAGATTAGTTTTAAATGTTGATCTAAATTTAATATAATATATTATAATATTACAATTACGTTTATAATACTCATAATATTTACAAGTTAATTATGCATACCATAAATGATCTATATAATCTCGATTCATAAATAATTTACTATTTCTGTTTAAAACATAAAAAAATTTAGCAGTTGATAAAATATTTGTTGTGAAATTTTGCTAGAAAGGTAATACCATACCTGGAAAGGGTTTTTCAGATTTTGATTTTGATTTTGATTTTGATTTTAATCTGCTTCATACATTTTTTCTCCTTAATTTTTTCCTAGATCAAATAATTTACGTACTAAGAAACGGATCACCTGTTAATAAATTTTAAACAGTTGGAGAGTTTTAGTATAGGAGAATTTAAATGCTTGACAACTTCTATATTACAATTATTTTTATATTGTAGTTATTTTTGGGAGTTAGTATAACCTATTATATATCTCTATAGGCTTATAAATTTATTACGATTATACTATGCTATATTTAGGTATCTATTAAAGTGATTAATGGAGTTAAGTTTGAAGTATTAGACATTAGTCTATATATTTAGTTAATTATATGTATTTTAAGCTAATTTTATTAATAATAAAATCAAACCCATGGTAGTTAGCTTTCCATATAAGATGAATATTTGATAAACAAGACCTTTATTGAAACGGTTAATAAGAGGCAAATGCATAAATTTTATAATAGCATTAAGCCCAGAGCATATTTTTCATTTAAACATGTACCAAATTGATTTTTATTACTGAATGGCTTTAACTGATGATAAAGTCATTTGTTGTCAGCAACATTTCTTGACCTATTTAATAAATATATATCAACTAATGGAGATGCAGATATTAACTGTCACATGTTAAGACAAGTATTTTGCAAACATCACAAATACAGTTTGTGCTTCTTAAAAATAAAACATAAGAAACCTGCCTAGAATATGTTACAATATAAAGAAATAAACTGCAGTCTAGAATATGTGCAATGTATAAATACATTAGAAAAATTCTATTAAGATCCGCATTGCTATATACAGATTTAGATTTATTCATTCTTTTACAAATCGGGCAACTTTCGGACATTTCCGATTTAGCTGAAATTTTTTTTATAAGATCCTTTCATAAAATAAGAATACCCGTACCTTGGGAAAAAAATTTGTAATTTTTTCCCTAAGAGATATGAACCAATGGGGTTTTGTCAATTAACATTGTAGACACATTCTTAAACGACCATATCTCAGACTCCATAAATGATAGAAACTTGAAATTTATTGCGTTTTAAAAATAATTGATTGAATTTTTAAGAAATAATTTAAACAATTAATATTGTTTATATTTAAGTACTAATATTAACCGTTAAATTTCAAAAAAAAATTTTCCAATAATGAGGTCATTCTTGCCAAAATCCATCCGATTTGTGAAAGATTGACCCATATGCAAATTACTAATTCTGCTCTATTTACAACTAACTTTAATTAATACTTTTTAAATGTTATTTATAGTATAACCAATTTACCGAGAGCATTCCATACCAACACCTTTGTTTATAATTGAACAAATAGATTGCCAATTACATTAAATCTAAAATAATAACAAAGCTCATAGTAAGGTGTATATTTTTTTTAAAATTATGTTATTTGCATTTGACAAATACTGGCTAGGCAAATATTTTTATATTTAAAAAGGGAGTAATTTTTTATAAATTTATTATAATGCAATTATTGGCAAGTCATGTGTACTCACTTTACTATGCGACTAGCGTCTTATTTGCTTTTATTGTTGAAGTACATGTGTACAACTAAATTTTATAAGATCAAATAAGGCATGGACTTATTAATATTCAATTAACATATGTAAATAAATGTGATAAAAATATTTATTTATTCTAAGGTGAGTCTTGACTCATTCTCTGAGGCAAATTCTGATATTCCATTTGATATACTCGTAAGCTCACACTATCAAATTGGCCAATATCAGCAAACAAATAAACAAACAAACGAAATTATGCATTTGAAACTCTATCTATATCAAACTATATCACATGTCTATAATTGGAGATATTCTATTCCATAATTATTGTCGCTATAAAAGAAAGTGGGAACTAAAAATGGTAAAAAAAAGTTATCAATCAAACAATTGAAATATCTCAAATAAAAGCATTCGCAATCGATTTGATTACTTGGCACTTACGTTAGTCGTTTGATTTTGGGGTTGGGTATTTCGTTACCTTATTTGTTAATGTTATAAATTAACCTTTTTAATAATTTGATAAGAATATTTTCCTATGAATTCATGTTCTTAGCCAAAAGCAGCTTAACTGGTAAGGCATACGAAATGTTAATTGGCTTGCAACAGTTCAGTGGGATTTTTGCATTTGAAAGGTAAAAACTGTGGAATATTGAATATAGTAAAATTAAATAAAATTTCCATTTAAAATACAATTGTTTATACAGTTTGATAAATTAATTTTCTTTTAACATTTTCTGAATCTTATCAGTTTCATAGAAATCTATTGTGTACCAAATTCACTCAGGCATTTTATAGATTGCTGTCGCTGGCAACTTCCCTGCATATTTTAGTTAGTCGTGTTGTTGAATAAAAAAACTAAAGTGAGCTGTGTTATGTTTTTCTATAAATAAAAATTTGTGTAATTAATTATTTAAGTGACATAAATTACAAAATCAATAAAATTAATTCAACACTTCAAGTACTTTCATAATTTAATATTTTTATACTTAATTAAACGATTAAATTTAGTAAGTTATTCCTTACACTTTTGATAACTGTTGACTCAACTTCCAAACATATTAATTTCTTTAATTCAAATTTTTTCATTACCATAAATTATATCAAAAAAAAATAAAAACTGTAAACCTTTATCAATTATTATTGTTATCAAATTGCTGAAGTGATTTAAGTTAACTAAGTTTAAAGTTTATAATAGCGATTGTTTTAAGTGCTGCTGTTTTGACTAATATGCATATACATATTTTTAATTTACAGGAAAATATAATAAGTGATAAGGTTACTTTTAAAGTAAATATTAAAATTTCAACCCCCTGCACACTTAAGCACCGCCTTTTTATTAAGAGCGACATCTGGTGGTGAAATTTTGCAATATATAAATATATAACAGTTGCCCCAAGCATGGACTTAAACCGAATGAGCAAAATGAAATGTTGTATAAAAATCAAACCTTCTACCAAGAAATGTAAACTATTATTAATAATACTACCTTTGAATTCTACTAATACTTTTAAATACTAATTCAAAAAGTGAATTAACATTATATAAGATCATAGTAAATAAATAGTTAAATAAAGTAGTGGATGTATGGTATATAAAAAATAAAGCCACGAAAGAAGGATTTCTCATTGTCTGCATGGATGAAGCAGTTGTTTCTTTGATCTTCGATTTAATTTATATTAAAATTGTTCATTTATTGAAATATACTCATTCCTTACAAGAACTGTATGCATAGACTCTCATCCACAATGATCATATAGTTTATTTATATAGTATGCAGGTTGATTTAAATAAAAATTATTTTTCTAGAATAAAAAATAAATCCTATCATCTCTTACTACTGCTATATGAAAGTTCAACTCTTCACAAAAAAACTATCCCATTATCCTACCAGTTCCAAATGCAATAGAAAATATTATTTCTTAGAAATACTTTCGCTTCTAGTGCTATATAGCAACTGCAACTAAATATTATAAAACTAAATGAAGAATATGCTTATTAAAGACAGCTTTGCTCATTTAATTATCGTCCAGCTAAAACAGAGAGACTTTTTTGGTTTCATTAGAATAATAGGATAATGAAACATTTTCTATACCGTATCATTATTGATAAAAACTGGATATATCATGTGAATATTAAATAAAAATTCATTATCTGTAGCGATACCTAATTATATGCTCTCGAAACTATGAGCTCTTTAAGCGAATTAAAACAATCGATCAATTCAATGAGCGGTTGTCACCCCATTAATAACTTTTTTATCAAAGGATAAGAATTAAATCATAATAATATGAGATAAAACTAAATGCAACTATAACTGCGGCATATATATGTGTCGACTAAATAAATAATTGCAGGTATCATGCCAAAACACTAAAAATCTGGCTTTCGAAAAGAAGAAAAATTATTTGATAGTGCGAACTCATCAAAGAAGATCTAATATAGGAAAATTGACATAGTCGGTATTGAGAAAGCTAAAAAAATATTAATAATTGCTAGTATTAATATTTAAATTACAATATGTTCAACTGTATTTGAAATTAACTTTAGTATCAAATAAATAATGTGTTTAGTACTGTTTAATGAAGCGATAACAAAACGACGTCAACTAATTAATATATAAGGCTCCACAATATTCTTTATGTTAATAAAAAAAAATATTGAAAAAAAAGTAATTGACGTAAAACTGAATTTTTCCTGCAAATCTTCCCTGTCCACCTATAAAATCTATAAGTAAAAGTTCTATAATTCAGTTGACTTCAAAAATGTGTGACAATAATAATCAAGTAAAGCTAATATTAAATAAAAGAATACAAGCAGGTTATAATAACCAACATAGTGGCGGCCTCAATGAAAACAAGGAACACAAAGTAAAAGTGGAGATAGTTAGATAAATATAGGCTTAAGTCCTCGAAGAACCGTTTCCACTTAAGATGATTATTTTCAAAGTAAACTTTGTTTCTAATTTAGTGTTCCCTTGTGATGTGATTAGATTCACCACAATATATTATTCCTTCGTTATTTTCTATTACCTACCTGTCGATTCTCTTGTTTTCTATATATTCTCTATATGATTTTCTACCTTATATTTATTTTTATTCTCTCATCTCTATGATTCTTTTTGTTTAATAATTTAGACTTTGGTACCATTCAAAACTATTTTATTTTTGTACAGTATTTGTAGAAGATTCTCATACGATATTTTAAGAACTAAACAAATCGTGTTAGTCTTTATTATATTTTATTAATTTTTTATTTTTTAACTTTACAATTTAACATAATAGATGGGCTAATAGATCTAAACTGATCCATTGAATGACCTGTATAACCTATTTATGTAATAAGCTTATGTAAAAGTTATTGCTCTGAATTGTATATTCAAAAATTATACTTTTCTAATTATTTTTCCTTGCAGTTCATAATGGCACCTATAGCAAACGGATCTGCAGCACAATTGCTGATCGAGAACAATTTACCACTATGGCTGGACACTGTGAAGTTACAAAAGGCAGTGCAAAAGAAATTAGGAAATTTCAATTTAATCAAATCCATAAACATTGAGGATCACATTAAGTCCGAAGAAGATTTTTCATCACTTATGCTTCGCATCAATGTGGAAGTAGAAGTTGATGGTAGGTACCTATTACTATAAAAGTGGAAAATATATACCTATACATTCAAACATTAATGGAACGAACTGGCTAAATTTATGCGCATATTTTAATCAAGCGATAAAATATAGGCAACAAATTATAGTTGAGATCTTTTAACCGCACTTATGTATGCACACCAACAATATATACTAATTATAACATCAAACTCACTACAAGATTAGAGGGATTAGAAAAGTAGGCAATCGCTAGATAAAGCTGACGACATTAGTCACAGCTTTAAGTAAAAAATGTATAAAGTATGGATAATGATTGTATGTTTTTTTAAATTATTAATAAAGAAAAAAAATTATTATTATTACATTCAAACATTCAATACAATCAAAAAAAATTATAGCAATCGCAACTGTAATAAAAATAAAATTATTATTGGCTTTACTCTATCAGGAACATAGACTTGTTACATAGAATCTCCAACTATTTCTGTCTCTAGCAATATAACCTAATTCATTTAAAGATTTGCCGGTTTCATTTGTTATCGTTCTTCTCCAAGTGTTGCATAGTGTTCCTATGTGTCTGTTGCCTTGGGGCTTCCATTGAAGTGTTGTGTGGTGTACTTCCTCGTACGCTTAACTTGTGTGTTGATATCTTCTTGGTTTGTTCGTTGAAGTAGTTCCATATTTAAAATTCTACGTGGCCACTAAATTCTCGAAATATTACACAGGCATCTATATTGGACGGATTTTACACAGGCTTTGTAAACATGAATTTTTGTTTGAGGAGATATTTCATTTGAATTTCATACACTGCAAAGATTACTGAACGCTATTCTGATATTCTGCTATTCACATCTATGTGTATTAAAGTAAATACCCAAATTGCCTTTCAATAATGAAAGACCATCAACATATTTTTATATTTGGATCTTTATATGTTTGAAATATCATAAATACTCATGCAACCATTACTCTATCCATTTTATAAAAGTAACTATTAACTTTGATTAGTTTTTATTATATCAGCAATCACAAATATTCAACATATTCGCTAGTAAATGTATTATAATTTCAGCTGGAAATACCACCACTACTTCTTTTATATTGAAGGGGACAATTTCAATGGCGACCAAATAGAAGACGACTATTTCAGACATTGCTCAGATACCTGCATTTAGCTACCAAGAAGAGAAAAAATGATATCAATACATAATTCAGAACATTTCGAGACACTTTACACGGAGAATTAAGAATAGCAAAAAGTAATCTTGGCTCACAAGCATTTTCAATATTCTGAACACAGTTTGGATAGATTACATACCTGTTGGAACGAATTCTTGAACAGACAAATACTTTAAGCACGATAAAGGGTGCACACTCAATTGGAAAGCATATGAACGCATGCATTGAACAAACTGCAGAAATTCCATGCGCTTCGCTTCGTTATGTGGAAACACCACCTTTAGCATGTTTAGGCGAGAGTCACAGTTAAGCATCTGTCAGTGAATTCAATCGTATTTTGCTTGAAAAGGTGTCAATGCAATCTGATGATATTACTACCATTTTTTTGAAGAAATTGGAAAAATGGTGGATTATTTTCCAATACTCGCTGATGCGATCAGTATATCGATTGATCGGTATTACTTGAATTACAAAAGTTAATTCCCCGTGAATTATAACTGATGGACTCAAAATAAAATCAGAGGAATATGTTAGCATAAACAAATTAATGTATTCAGTTTATTGGATGCTCAGGAGCAAGATAGAAGACACAGTATTTTTAGATTTTCAAGTTGGAAAATATGGCTCACCAGCTAATGATTTGTATTATTTAATTTTATCTTCGGCCGATTTAAGCATAAAATACACAGAATTCGACTTTTTTGTTCGTTTCTACTACGACAAGCTAATTGAAAATCTGAAATTGCTGGAATATCATCGGCCACTACCTAAACTAAGGAGTTTACACAATACTCTACTCAAACACGGCTTGGCCGGTAAGTGTTTAATTAACATCAAATTATATTTTCAATTTTACCTTATTTGTTTATAGCTTATATGGTTGTATCGAAGGTGCTACCAATTATAATGTTGGACAAAACTGATAACAAACACTACTCAAATTGTTTAAATGACGAGACGAAAATGAGAGAACTCATGTACAAAAATCACAAATACGTGCAGGCCATGAATGAATTACTGCCATGGTTGGATAATCGCGGTTTGTTGGACTGGAAATGAGGAAGTTAATTTTTGACATCTTATTTTATTAAAAATTGTTCTGTTGAAAAAATTGTATTCCATGTCAAAGCTTTTTGTTTACAAAACGTTAATGTATTAATATTCTGTAATTAGAGACATATTTAAGGTTAAAATTATTTTAAAAATAATTTGTCATGTCATTAGAGTGTGTTTAATAAAAATATATATTTTAATCTTGAAAAAATCCCCACTATTTAAGCATATAAACAAAACTTTGGTTATTTGTTAAACACAATAACCAGATTCTAAGAACTGTGTGAACTAGTGTTGTTAATCTAAAAATAATTGCAACTTCTGATTTAATGACTGTAATTGTTATCTTCATGAATTAAGGAGTTGATTATATCATATATCAGAACACACTGACAAAAACAATGTAAATAATATAACATATTAGTTACATGTTTTTAATATATATATACGTTTTAAGTTAGATTATACAGGCGATCCTTATAAGAATTAAAGAGTTTAAGAATAACCTTGAAACTTTGGCAAAACCTGATATACTCTTCAG